CCAGAAGTAGACACACTACTCCATTTTTTTCAGTGACCTGAGTTAAAAAACTTCTATTTGACTCCAAGACAGCTAGAAAACTCTCCTGTATTTCCAACATACAAGGAGTTCATACTATTCATACATTAGCTGCCAATAAGATTTATAAACTAAAAGAGCAGTTGGTATGAGCTAAAAATGTTCTACCTACTTCTTTGAAGATACAGTCAGGAAAATATGTGCATATTCATGAAAATATGTCGTTGAGGAAAAGCCGTGTTGGCGGCAGGGCCCTACTTCCTGAGCTAAACTGCTAAATGGATACCCATTCCAAGTTTTCAAGTTGCAGGTTGTTCACAGAAATGCATCTGTTATAAGAATTTTGCATCAAAGAAAGTCTAAATTCATCTTTTTTCACAGGACTTCAAATCCTTGTAGGAGTATATAGTCAGGCCCTTGTGCTCACCTTTCTCAGTCATGCCTTCTTGAATCTTTTGCTATTAAGATGTTTTATCTATTCTTTGCCATTCTTGTACCTTTACTGTGGCATTTCCATAATGAAGGCTGTCAGTCAACTTCTATAGCTCTCTGTAATTATTTATGAGCGTCTTTTACAGTCCCCAGGTGCTGTAAGAGAAGCCAGCGACAGAGAAGACCACCCTAGCTAAACAGGGAGCTTTGGCTGTAACTCAGGGAAAAAAGATGTTTACAGCTTTTGGAAGAAAGGGCTAGCCACTCACAATGAATACAAAGATGCTGCTGTAAGGCTCTGCAGGGCAGAAATCAGGAGGTCTAAAACCCAGCTGGAAATTAGTCTGGCTTCAACAATCAAGGACAACAAGAAATGTTTCTATAAGTATGTGAGCAGCAAAAGAAAGACCAGGGAGAGTCTCCATCCCCTGCTAGATGCAGGAGACATAGTAACAAGTGATGAGGAAAAGGCTGAGGTGCTTAATGCCTTTTTTGCCTCAGCCTTTAATAGCAAGACTAGTACTGAGGGAATCCAGCCTCCTCAGCCAGAACACAGAGACTGGGAGAACGACCCCCCTGCACTCCAGGAGGAGACAGTCAGTGACCTGCCGCATCACACAGACACACACAAGTCTATGGGACCAGATGGGATACACCTGAGAGTGCTGAAGGAGATGGCTGGGGTGCTCACCAAGCCACTTTCCATCATTTACCAGCAGTCCTGGCTGACAGGGGAGGTCCCAACAGATTGGAAATCGGCCAATGTGACGCCCATATATAAGAAGGGTTGGAAAGATGATCTTAGAAATTACAGGCCTGTCAGCTTGACTTCTGTGCCTGAGAAGCTGATGGAGCAGCTCATCCTGAGTACCATCACACAACACATGTGGGACAACCAGGGGATCAGGCCCAGTCAGCGTGGGTTTGTGAAAGGCAGGTCCTGCCTGACAAACCTGATCTCCTTCTACGACAGGGCGACCTGCTTATTGGATGAGGGAAAGGCTGTGGTTGTTGTTTACCTTGACTTTAGTAAGGTCTTTGACACCGTTTCCCACAGCATTCTCCTGGCAAAACTGGCTGCTCAAGGCTTAGATGGGCACACGCTTCGCTGGGTAAAAAACTGTCTGGATGGCCGGGCCCAGTGAGTTGTGGTGAACAGAGTTAAATCCAGCTGGTGGCCGGTCACGAGTGGTGTCCCCCAGGGCTGGGTTTTGGGTCCACTCCTGTTTAACACCTTTATTGATGATCTAGACGAGGGGATTGAGTGCACCCTCAATCAGTTTGCAGATGACACCCAGTTGGGCGGGAGTGTTGATCTGCCCGAGGGTAGGGAGGCTCTGCAGAGAGACCTGGACAGGCTGGAGCCATGGGCTGAGGCCAACTGGAGGAGTTTCCATAAGGCCAAATGCCGGGGGCTGCCCTTGGGCCACAACAACCCCCAGCAGTGCTACAGGCTTGGGGAGGAGTGTCTGGAGAGCTGCCAGTCAGAGAGGGACCTGGGGGTGTGATTGACAGCCGGCTGAACGGGAGCCAGCAGTGTGCCCAGGGGGCCAAGAAGGCCAACGGCATCCTGGCTTGTGTCAGCAATAGCGTGGCCAGCAGGGACAGGGAAGGGATCTGACCCCTGGACTCGGCACTGGTGAGGCCGCCCCTCGATTCCTGTGTTCAGTTTTGGGCCCCTCACTACAAAAAAGGACATTGAATGACTCGAGCGTGTCCAGAGAAGGGCAACGGAGCTGGTGCAGGGTCTGGAGCACAGGTCGTACGGGGAGCGGCTGAGGAGGGAACTGGGGGTGTTTAGTCTGGAGAAGAGGAGGCTGAGGGGAGACCTCATCGCCCTCTACAGCTACCTGAAAGGAGGGTGCAGAGAGCTGGGGATGAGTCTCTTTAACCAAGTAACAAGTGATAGGACAAGAGGGAATGGCCTCAAGTTGCACCAGGGAAGGTTTAGACTGGATATCAGGAAGCATTTCTTTCCAGAAGGGGTTGTTAGGTGTTGGAATGGGCTGCCCAGGGAGGTGGTGGAGTCCCCATCCCTGGAGGTGTTCAAGAGTCGGGTTGACATAGCGCTGAGGGATGTGGTGTAGTTGGGAACTGTCAATGTTAGGTTAATGGTTGGACTGGATGATCTTCAGGGTCTTTTCCAACTTAGACAATTCTGTGATTCTGAGATGTAATACTGAAGTTGTTGACCTCATTAATGCAATGACCAAGTGAAAGGTTTGAGCAAAGAGCTAATGATCTCTTGAGATATGGTCCACCTGTAAACTTCTATGTATTCCCTTTTTATATCTGTGTTTTTTAAAAAAATGAACCAAATTGAAAACTCAGTGGAATTTCAAGAAAGTTGCTAATTTTTCTTGTATCAAAAGAGAGACTGAGGAAACCATGTAGTACTTCTAGAGTGGACTATCTGTCCAAAAAGTATGTTTTAGCTGTTGGGAGTGATAGCTCAGAAGCTCATCGTATCTGCCATTCTCAAGCCTAACAGCTACATACTTGGTGTACTTAGGAATGCCTAAAGGATGATTAGTATATGAACAACCTTGTACAGTATCTTCTATGCGGTTATAGCAATATAGTGGTAAGTCTTCTGCTAGAAAGGCCTCAAAAGAAAGGGTTCATGTTGGGTATCTCTTCATGGAGGCTTTTGTTTATCTATCAGTTCTGCAAATGATTACATGCTAGATGATACACTAATGACCTTTTAGATTCCAGTTGATGACCATGCAGTACAGTGCTGGTGATGCTAGCTGGCTTCAGTCAGCCTTTCAGTGCACAGTAAAGCATATGTGCATACCTAGGGCACCTTTCCACATTTGAAACATGTCACATGGTCTAACATAGCCATCTGCAAATAAACAAATGTGCAACTATTTATACAGCAGTAATTTTTGTGTTTCATAGCCACAGTGTAACTGACTGAGCAGAGTACTGGTAGATCAATAGGATTACCCTTGATTCTCCAGAAAATGCAGATGCATAGCTGTATGCATTAAATATAGCATAGCAAACCAATACCCCAATACCTCAGATGTCATTCACAATATAAGCAGTGTCATTTGCCATGTCCTTCTAAATTGAGGTATTCATGAAGATGTACATTAAACAAATGCTTCTGGTTTACTTTCTTCTTCTTCATTCCTTGATCATTCAAGTAATGATGTAAACTGCTCTGTTAAATCATAGTATTGTGAGTACTGGACAGCAAATCCTCAGTGCCATTTATGGGTTTTAGAGCATTCGAATGAAGTTTTTGGAGTGTGATTTGTTCTGTCGTTTGTACCTAGGAATGCTAAGGATGAAATGTGAGGCTATGCAGGGCAGAAATCAGGAGGTATAAAGCCCAGCTAGAAATTAATCTGGCTTCAGCAATCAAGGACAAGAAATGTTTCTATAAATATGTGAGCAGCAAAAGAAAGACCAGGGAGAGTCTCCATCCCCTGCTAGATGCAGGAGACATGGTAACAAGTGATGAGGAGAAGGCTGAGGTGCTTAATGCCTTCTTTGCCTCAGTCTTTGATAACAAGACTAGTTGTATTGAGGGAATCCAACCTCCTCAGCCAGAAGAGAGAGACTGGGAGAGCGACTGCCCTAAGGTCTTTTTCAACCTAGATGATTCTGTGATTCTGTTAAATCCTCTGTGCTCCTTTATTTTGCTGTTCCTGAAAAGATTAATTTTACAAGCATAAATTCCCTTACTGTGGTGGTATGGGGTCCTTCCACATTTCTCATGAACACTGCTTCAAATATTCCACATGCCACAAGCATGAATAAGATTGGTGTAAATACTGAGGGTACAATAAAGGATCACTCTTATTCTGATCTGTGAAAGCATCTGAACATGTGCTAGGGGTTTACTAAAGTCAGCAAGAGTTAAATACATGCTTAAGAGTTAACCAGTAAAATATTTGTCCTTGCTGAACTGGGAGCTCTGTGATAAACCGAAAAGATTATACCCAACCTCTGTGGTATAACACTTCTCACTTTGAAGAAATAAGATGCAAGATATAATGTCAGTGACTCACAGCCTCCTTTTAGGAAATGTGTATAAGTGTATCTTTAAAAGAAAAGCTATCCTCTTCTGATTTTAATGAGTTTGCCAGTGACTGAAGTAACAAAATGAGGAAATAAGAAAAAGACAGAAATTATATTTTTAACATCGATTAACAAAAATGCTAATTTCCTCCTTTTTTTTTTTTCCTGTATTTTTCCAGAATTTATTTTAAGGTTAAAGAAATACAAATATTGCCTCTTTTATGAGTTTGCCATTAATATGCCTTTTTTTAGTCTACACTTCTATATAGAAAACAGTTCCCAAAATGTTAAGTATGTGTTTATATACTGTCTGTTCAATAGATTATTTATATCTCAGGTTAAAAAAAGATGAAGTAATCTTCATCTGCAAATATACAATGTTTATCAAAATGCATTGCTTCTTGATTAGAATATTGCTTTGTTTTGACCACTAAGTGGTGTAAATGTCTGCAGGTATGTATGTCTGCCTGGGAGTGTAATGACACAGTTATAAATATTTTTCTGACCAACAGATATTTCCTGGACTGATTCTCTCGGACATTAAGCCTGCCAAAAGAATGAAGTTCAAGACAGTCTGCTACCTGCTTGTTCAGCTCATGCACTGTCGTAAGATGTTCAAAGCAGAGATCCCTTTCTCCAATGTCATGACGTGTGAGGATGATGATAAGGTAATCCATGTGGGCTCTTTGGGCATCAATTCCCAGGACACATTGAGCAGACCTGCTCTGAGAACATATGGGGTGGTCTAACCATCTGATAGAGCAGTTTCTGGTGTACCTGCTAGATCTGGAGCTATATAATGCCCAAAGCCTTCTCACAGTTTAAGACAAAACTTAATTATATCAGGCCTCAAATTTGGGCAAACCAGAACAGGTGACCTATGTGGCTTCTCTTAAGGGCTTCCTTCATAGGAATTAGAGTTTCTGAGGTGTTTTCTGCAATTACCAAGAGCTCTTCTTTTGCATCATGAGTCCATCACAGTCTGAAGCTGATGGCAGCAAAAGCAAAATAACAGAAGAGCTTTGTATCTCCAGATGGTTCTCTAAAAAATGATAGGCAACTGATTAGCCAAAAAACCTTAGTCCCTAATTCAAATCCTAAATACAGAAGTCCCTAATACAACTATGAATACCACTTTCTTGAGTGGCTTGTAATACCATAACCCAAAATTGCTTTACATACTAGTAGCCTGGTTTACTTTCATTTCTGTGTGTATTTACATAGAAATTTATGAAGAAAAAATTCTTGAACAGTTGCTCATTCCATTTTCTTTGCCAGTAGGTGGCAATATTATATAGGGCACTCCACCAGTTCTCCAAAACAGGGCATGTGTTCATTGGAATCAGTAATTCATTTTAACTGATTGATCCAACTTTTTTTTTTCTTTTTTTATAGCGTATGTTTATTGAAGATTCAGTCTAAATCTTACTTTCAGGAAGCATTATAACTTTTATATTTTGGGATTATATGTGCTTCTGTTTCTCCTGTGGGAAAAGGGGAGAAAAGCCCTTTAGTTTCTCTAAAACAGAGTTTCAGTGAAGATTTTCAGGAACCATAGACTTGCTTTTGAAACTGGTCCTTGAACAGGCCTTCCATTTTTGAATTAGCATTGTTCTCTGAGTATTTAAAAAAAGTAACCCACACATTCTTTAAAACATATGCAATACTTTACAATGTCTTGTGTATATGTATGTATAAATATGGTATAGTATACACAGAAAGTCCCGATATGGTTTTGCTGGGGATCTGATGAAAATTTTCTCATGCCAGAACATTTTCAGTGAAGTTCTACAGTGCTATCTTTAACTGAACCAGTTGTTCTGAGCTTTTGTACCTAATATGTATCATTCATCTTGGAGTATGATATATGATTTTAATATAAATATGCTGTGTTGCAATGCAGGTTTTTTCAGAGATATCAGTCCTCAAATCATTATCAAAAATAAGCTATGACTATAAAAGCTTTGAAGCCAGCACATTATTGTAGCATGTATTTATTTATTTAATTTCGGAGAAATATAAATACTGAATCTTGATAACATATACATGTCTACTGTATGAAATAATAATAGAGATAAAAATAAGAGACCTAGTAAAATTAATTCTATGTAACCAACAGGTATTTTGTTTAAGCACAGTAACCCTATTTCAAAGTGGCAGAACAAATATAATTTATTACATATATCAAAATAACTCCTGTCATCTACCCTCATTCCATATTTTAAAGCAAACAAGCGGTTTCTTTTTTTTTTTTTTTCTTTAAATGCTGTTTTGCTCACTCCTATTATTATGCTATAGGCTTAAATTTGGATTATAAAAAATCCCCAAAGATGTACTTTCTGCTGCACCTTACGCAATACATATACTAACTAGCTGTATCTTTATGAAGAGCAAAACTGTATATTCCTGACAATATTCCTGAAAGCATTGAGTTTCCCTGTAAACTTGTGGGACACATGCCTTCTGCAAGAGAACAATTTTATTTCTTTTTCAAAACATTTAGAGTAGTTTTTTGGCTAGCAATTTAAAATTTCTATTATGGCTAACAGAACCCAGAAGATCTATTTGAAAGCTCTAATCCATGTATATCTACAAGATTATTTCTCATGCTGAAACAATTAGTTCTTACGCCACAGACAACAAGTAATGTGGTCTGATAGTTTGAAGAAAAAGGTCTCAAGTAGCCTCATAATTGTTTAATGCTGGTATAGCCTGATGTCTACATATAAAGCTGGAAAAACAGGACTTGGAAAGTTATTTATCTTCGCTAAGGGGCATTCTTCTTTACAGTCAGAAAACTAAGGCATCAGTAAGCAGTTAACTCTTCCCGGTGTTCATAAGTATTCAGGTATATTCTACAAGTAACGTAAGATTTGTAAACTAATGAACTGCTGCAGTCCACTGTTTGCTCACTGATAGGGACCTCATGAGAATTACTTCTTGTGGAATAAGACAGAAAACTGCCATTCCTGCAGAATTACCTAAATAACAATCACCACCTCTTTTTACCATCTGGTTTAAAAGGATATTTTGTAGTATAGCCTTTAAAGAGTGGGCTATTAAGTAGTGACTGCTCTGAAGAAAGACATTTTGTGTGCTTTTGTCACAGCTTGCTGACGGACTATACTGATTATATCCTGAGCTAGCGTTGTCCTAGCGTTGTCCTTATCCCTGAGCAGACTTGTCATTTCATAATGTTTTGAATAGTCTTCCTGAACTCTGCAGATGTTAGATAAAGTAGTATTCATTTAACTGTATAAAAACAGTACAACTTGCCTGAGCTTGTCTATCAAAACTCTTCTGGGAAGTAAGGCTTGACCCATTTTGAGGTGAAAAGGTTATTCAATTATTGTCTCTTTCTTCATGCTCAATGTGCTAGCCATTAGGTGACTGATTTTTCAAGACTGGCCTACATCTTTCTCACTCTGTGTTTAAAAAATGCTGCATCTACAAGATTATTTTGTGAAGACCCTGATTGTTTCACTGTGCTAGGACATGGGCAGTCATACTAGTGCAGATCTAGCTGTAATGGTTTATCTTACAGTGCCCTCAACTGAAGTCAAACAGATTGTCTAAAATCTCTTTCAGATACACTCTGTGATAAACCTTTGCATTGAAAAGTACTATCAGTGATCATCTTGTCAGTTGTGCTATCATAGGCATGGAGGAATTAACCCCAGTTAGACACAGGTTAGCTCTGATAATTTATTGGACAGGTCCTCAGGATCTGCACTTGCATTTTGATATATTCAAGAGGTCTTAACAAGACAACCACTTGGGTGAGTTAAAGATAGGAACACTTGAGATTTCAGACCCTCTGCAGTTATTGTGCAAGAGGTTAAGGAAAACTATATTTTCAAAATATATATTGTTGCCTAGACAGCCTTGGACAGTAAGACTTGTGTCATGAAGAGCCTGGTTATCTTGTCTTAAAGATGTCCAGAGCTCCATGTCTTCCATCAAGACAAAAATTCTAACTATTGTTTTAGATAAAGTTACACTGATTGGGATCAAACCAATTATTACCTCAATGGCAGAGATCTATCAGAGCAGTATGTGAAGAGAATTTCTGCAGAAGAGGATCGATATCCTGGAATGCAGTGAGGGTCTTCTCATTGATTTTAATGAGATTGGGATTTCAGATAAGGAGTTTTTAAAATACAGTTATCACACAGAGATAAGATATCTGTCTTTTGTAGTTGCTCTGCTTAATGAATTCCTCATTCTGACTGTGAGCTTGAGATAATATGAACAGCAATGAAAAATTTCAGTGTTAATAAAATCTGTGCTTTCTTCATCTGTGCTACAGAGGAGAGCATTAAGGACAGCCTCTGAAAAACTCAGGAATCGTTCCTCTTTTTCTACCAATGTTGTATACAACACTCCAGGAACTCGAGTAAACAGATACATCAGCCGTTTGATAGAGGCCCGGCAAACTGAGTCTGAGATGGCTGACTTGAACTTCATTACCCTGAAGTATAAGCAAACTGAGCGTGAAAATAAAGTAAGGGGTTTTAAAATTATTTTTAGTGATTTCACTGACCATGAACCACTAGCATTGATTTTTATTTGGTTTAGACAGTGTTTAAATTTATTCACTATCTTTTAATAATGCTCTGCACTGTGTCTCGGTTAAGAGGGTGATATTATCTCCACCTTCTTTCTATGGAAGCACTTGGAGGGGATAAAAAGAAAGATTGGTATCTTTCTACTCATTAAGATCCTCCCCCATAAAGTTAAACATCTTGTGTTTTGGCCTTCCTTTTGCTTCTCCAGACTGCCTGACCTGCGTCACCTGTTTAATGCTGTCTCGTGGCAATGTGGCTGCCTACTGACTCATCTGCTCTGGAGAAGCGTTAATGACTTGAGGGTGCTTCCCTCTGCATATGTAGCCTGATAAGTATTGATCCCATCAATCCTAGAAAATATTAAAAAAAACCTTAAATCTCTGGACAAGGAATAAGATTGTGATCTTATGCCAGAGTGACTGTGCTGAAAGCAGTGGACTTACTCCAGACTTAGAAGCATGAATATAAGCTAACAAAGTAGAGCTGTTTGTTCCTACCTTGTATGGGTTTTATTTGTAAATACAAATTGTTTTAATTGGAAAAAAATAAAAGACTTTCGTTTATGTGTTTGAAAAAGCAAAAGTGAGATGCTTATGGATTAATTTGGCAGTAGCATTTATTTTTCCACTGTAAGTCACTTTGTAGTCTAAGATTTCATGTCACTACTCTTTCAAGTTGGAAGGCTATGTGCCACATTGGACTCAATTTTTTTAAGGTCTTGAGCATTAACTTTGATTTCAAGTTTCCAAAGTGATTTATTATTTAATTGTATTTGTTTTCTTTCAAAATAAGAAAGTCTTTTGGTGTAAATGAGATTGAAATTTGGATCTTTCTGAGAAAACACTTGAGCATTTCCAGCCCTGAAAAGTGTTCTGTTGTAAGGACTGTGGCTTAGTGGAATCAGGGACACTAACAGCTCAAAACTGAGCCCCTGTCTCTCATTAGCAGCTGCCTCCAGCCCATCCATTAGTGTTCTGTCCCGAGTAGCTGAGTTGATAGGACTCGAAGGCAGCACCAAGGGAGGGTTGGCCTTTTTTTGTGATGAGGGAGGAGGGAGTTCCACCTCCTCCTGGTTTGAAGTGGATGAATCCTTTTTGCTCCAAAAGATAAACTTATGCCTGAGCCTAACCCAGATTTCACAAAATCACAGAATGGTTTGGGTTGGAAGGGTCTTTAAAGATCACCTAGTTCCAACCCCCCTGCCATGGGCAGGGACACCTTCCACTAGCCCAGGTTGCTCAAAGCCCCGTCCAACCTGGCCTTGAACACTGCTCGGAAAGGGGCAGCCACAACCTCTCTGGGCAACCTGTGCCAGTGTCTCACCATCCTCTTAGTAAAAAATTTCTTCCTTATATCTAATCTAAATCTACCCTCTTTCAGTTTAAAACCATTACCTCTTGTCCTATCACTACACTCTCTGATAAAGAGTCCCTCCCCAGCTGATTAGTTACAGGGTGAAAACTAAATAGCTAGGCCAACAGGAGCAACTGAAACAGAAGGCTGTTAAGGAAAATGTTGTGTAGACTTCCCTCATCTTTTTTTTTTTTTTTTCATTTGAATTAAGCAATGATCATTTGTATATTTGTAAAATGGGTAGGGGCTTGTTTTGGCTTAGGCTGAGAATGGACAAGCGTGGGTGGCTGGGTGTGTATAAAATGCTCACTGTCTGCATTTCTTCCTTTCTTTAACAGTACCACCAGCTTCAGGATGAGTATTTCACCAGTGCTGTAGTACTTTCACTAATTCTAGCTGCCTTATTTGGCCTTGTCTACCTTCTAATAATACCACAGTAAGTTTCTGTCTTTGGCCATTATAATTCAGAGTGGAACATCTTCAACCATCCTGCACAGGTTAAAACATTAATGTCATTGGAATGGGAATTAGCACCCAGGTCCATATCTTCTCAAACAGCGGATTTTCTGATGGTTAGAACTCTGATGGTTATAACCTCAGTCTAACTGTTGTCTCTTCCATTTGTCAAAAGTCACATTTTGCTATCTTATTTAAAACAACTTCTTCTCCATTCTTTTTTTTTTCCTTTTTTCTCTTTTTTCTTTTTTTTTTCTTTTTTTTTTTTCTTTTTTTGATAGAAGGATGTGCTTAGGAGACCAAAACACATCTGCTAAATTTATTTAGAGCATTTACACACTACAAACAAAGGTGTTACTGCAGTCTAAATGTATTTGTGCTGGCTTTGGACAATGTACTTCAGGTACTGATAGCAAGATAGAGTTTAATGGGAACTAAGTACTGAAGTATCCATCCAGCTTTTCAACCCAAATTTATAGCCTGCATAGAGGTTTTTGGTATCAGTGCTATCACTATACAAACTGCCTAGTGCATAGTTTGGCCATTTCCATAGCAGCTGCAGTCAGACTGTGGCTGCACTAAAGCAGACATAACCAAATACTCATGATGAATTTGGGGGCCTCTGATGCCTACTGTTGAGTGATATAATTTAGTGATTACTTCAGATTTTGTTGATTCTATGTGAATGCTTATTAAATAAAAAAATAATTAGACTTCACTTTCAAGTCTGGGGGTTATAATAAGTAGATACAATTGTGTTCAAGGTATAAAAATTATGAGTAATAAACTTTTTCAGATGAGAATATTGAAACATTCAAAATAAGCTCCACTCACTTTTACTAATTATTAGGATTTCGATGGGAATAGAACTGGCCACAGGATAATGCTTTTGAAAATCTCATTTTAAATTCTGGTCTTTTCTATTCACAAATCCCCAGTCAGGATAATGCTTACTCCTATATTCTATTATTTCTAATTAAAAGTTTGAAAAACACTTTTTTTACTTTAATAATAATAATAACAACAACAAGAATAATAACTTAAATTTATTTTATAATAACTTTCAGCTGGAGCATTCAAAGTCATTTACAAAAATCATCTGATTTCCAGACTAATGACCTCTGCTGACTAAGGAGCATAGTTAAGAACTCTTTCACCTACTTCTGAAGTAAAGCCCAGCTGCAGTACATAGCAATTTCGAATAAGGAGAGACAAAGGGTATTAGCATAATTGAAATTGGAATTAATTTCCAGGAATCATATGGTATGGTATTGGGTAACCTTTCCAAAATGTACTGTCACTTAAAAAGCAGCTGGACAGAGATTCTATTTAAGCTCTGATCTGACAAACAGATGAGCTCTCCAGCAGAACATGACTGCTGAAGGCCATGAAGATAGACTGGTTCATCACTGGGTTAGTTAGAAAAGCCAATGAATGGTCTTAAGTTCTGTCTTCTAGCATCTGTTGGTGGTGGCTTCATACAACCAAATTACTAGTATTCTAGGGATTTTCTCTCACTGTGACCATGAGCTAGACTAAAACTTTGGAAGTATTGGAAAATTTCCCCTCTCCACAGAACTTGGAGTTTTAAGTTGCTCTTTAGATTGCCAAAGTAGTTATAAATATGACAAGAGAATGCAAAAGCCAAGACAAGTGTAATGTGTTACTATAAAGGGAGAAGTGATAATAACAGTGCTTGTCATGTATCACAATATTCCGAGGAGATTCAAAATCTAGAGACAAGAAAATGTTGTTAAGAAAGCCAGTTGCTGCATAAATACACAGAAAACAATGAACTTGACATTCTCACAGTTCCTATGATCATCTGAGCAAAACAGCTTCTCAGCTAAAGACGTATTTTATATCCCCAGATGGAGATGGTGAAAGTATGGCTATGTTCCTGTCAACCTAATCTGTCCAATTATAGAGGCACACATGCAGCGTAGCCACTAAAGATCCTGATGATGAACCTTTCTGATGTCTTATGCTGGGTTTACTTTTAAAAAACAATGTAGCCCTTTATTACTGGTGCCAACCCAAATCTCTCTCAATGTCCCACTCAGCACTCCTGTCAGTTTTTGGCTGTTGCTGCCAAAAAAGACACTGTTGCAGTCATGTCCCTTGCATTTTTTCCTAACATACTAACATGAGCCAGTCCCCTAAAAGCACAGAGGAGCCTGCTCTCTATTAATACTTGTATTCAGCATCCACACTGACAGCATATAGCATACCTTCCCATTCTGGATACAGATACTACACCACAGAATTTTCTGTGATTGTGTATTGGTGGAAATTGGTACATGAATATTGTGGTTTGAGTCCAGAGGGGAACTGAGCACCACACAGCCGCTCACTCACCCCTTCCTCCTCAGGAACGGGAAGGAAAAAATAAAGCAAAAGGCTTGGGAATCAAGATAAGAACAGAGAGGGGTGACTTGACCATTTTAGTCACAGCAAAAAGACACACTCAGAGGAAGAAAAAGAACATCAATTTAATTCAGACTCTAGCAACAACAACACGTAACAGACAGAGTAGGACAGTGAGAAGCATTACCACATCTTAAAATACATCCCCCCATCACTCCCTTCTTCCCAGGCTCAGCTTTGCTCCCATTTTTTCTACCTACTCCCCCCCAGCAGCACAGAGGGCAGGCAAAGTGGGGGTGCAGTCAGTCCCACCACTTCTTCCTTCTCAGGGGGAGGACTCCTCACACTCTTCCCCTGCTCCAGCATCGAGTCCCTCCCATGGGAGACAGCCCTCCACAAACTTGCTCCAACCTGAGTCCTTCCCATGGGCTGCAGCATTTCCCAATCTGTTCTGGTATGGATACATCCCACATGTTGCAATCCTCCCAGCACTGAACTACATCAGTGAGGGCTTCTTCCCTCAGAGTCCTGGTCTTCTTAAGGCACAGTCACCTGCTCTGGTGTGGGGTCCTCCAGGGGCTGCAAGTGGGCATCGGCTTCACTGGTGGTGTCCATGGGTGATGGAGGCCTGGCCCTGCCATCTCACCACAGGCTGAGGGCGTCTCTGCACCGGCGCACCTCTCCCCCCTTCCTCCTCCTTTCTTCCATTGACCTCGGTGTTCACATAGGTGTCCTCACAATGTTCCTCACAACTCCTACTCCTCCTCCCAGGTTCCACTTCTTAGATATGTCACCGTCACTAACTGGCTCAGCCTTGGCCAGAGGTGAGTCCGACTTGGAGCTGGGGGAGCTTTGAGAAGCTTCTTGCAGGATCTACCACTGTAGCCCCCTCCCTTGCTACCAAAAACCCCACCACACAAACCAGCACAGTGAATTTGAAATCAAAGCCAAATACTGAGAAATTCAACAGCAAAAGAATTTTGAACTTTTAGAAACCTTGTACAAGCAATCTTTCCCCAGTGATGATCAAGGGCACAAGTACACATATGCTTGCAGCCATGGCTCACATCTTATGGACTGGCTGTGTTCTCACAAGACTAGAAAAGAAGGTGTGAAGATCATGTTATGCTGCTGTCGTACGGCCCTGGCTCCATGGATGACTGGGGGCCAGGCTGTGCCTAAGAATAAATCAAAGCACCAGCGCTGGTGGACTCATTTTTGCCAGCTTCCTCACATCCATAAGGTACTGTTCCAATAACACAGGTTTTCTGGAGAAGGGAAGTGCTTGGTCTGCACTCCTCATGAAGAACAAACCTATTTTGAAAGATTAGGAGAGGGAAGATTAAGAATTAATAGAATTATTACAGCATCTTTGTGAAACCTAGGATTTTTCTAACCATTGAGAAAGATTGAAAAAGTTGTTCTGTTTCATTAGAAGAAGGGATCGCAGTGTAGTCTGATTTTATTTGACTTCATAAGTAACTGAGTTGACTGACCTCTGATTTCTGAATCTTTGAGAAGGAAAGATTAAAAGGGAAGAGCGGCTGGTAGCTGCTACACAGCTGCCAAGGCCAAGTAATTAGGTTACACACTCCAGTTATAGGAGTCATCATGCTGAATATTCCGCATTAGCCTACAGTTAGAAAGTGTCTCTCCTGTCGCACCATATAGTTGAATTTTTGAGGTGCTTTGATCTCCTTGCTGAGGTCAGAGTGGGCATCATATACAAGAACATTTACTGATTTCTCATCCTTGAGAGCAGTGCATTTCACTCTGAAATTTCCTCTGTGACAGTATTATAGCAAGGGTGAGGGGGAGATCCTCCACAGTTCATCCAAAATGCCATTTCAGAACAACGCCTGTTCTTTTTGTTTGCATCTGTTACTGAGTTGCATTGCTTTACTTCTATTATGTTTTGATTCTAGGAGTACCGTAGTTCTTGTTCTCCTGGTGTTCTGCATATGCTTCCTAGTGGCTTGTATTATGTACCTACATGTCACACGAGTACAAGTAAGTGATTCAAGATTTTATTACTATTCTTCCTTTCCTTGGCTATGATTTGTTTGTCCTTTGGAATATGAAGCCATCAGCACATGCTTCACAGATTCAGAGTCTGAAATCTATGTGCTTTTCAGGTTTATTGCTAAGTAATGTATTAGGTACTTCAAAACCAAAGATGATTCACCTCAAAGCAGAGTTTTTACATGAGTAATCATTACAGCAGTGTAGCATTCAGTACAATTAGTGCTATGTTTTTTGTCTTTTTTGTTAACTCTTCCCTGAACACCTGCCACTAGCTACTGAATTATTCTAGTGTTCAGATAAACAGCTGCTTTAACCTGACTTTTTCTCCTTTCTGTCTACAGAGCATGCTAGTTCTCCCTTCCATTCCAACTGGTATCTGGGTGTAAAGTCCTGCTAACTTCCCCTCTGTTTTCAAAACTTTTCCTTGCCAAAGCAGCAGCTGTTTTGATGGTAAAGCACAATGTTTTGCACACGCAACCCTTGGCCTTTTCAAAACCTTTAGTAATGATTAATTCTCCTGCATTACATTTTCACAACAGTAATAATGCAGAAGGACATTTGGTTGTTATAGGAGAGTAGGTCTGCCAGATCAGAATAAAGCATGTACAGATTAATTTTCTGATGAAAAAAAATTTGTAGCAGCTTAATCTAAATTCAGTTTTTTTCAGACAAATATCAGCAGAAAACATCTACACATTTAACTAGCTTTGCTGATTAGTACAAATTAATTTTTAGTTAAGAAAAAAATGCCCTTTGGCAGGAGGAAGGTAATTGTTTTCATGGAAATACAAATAGTATATTATCAGAGTACCTGCTAGAGAGCAGGTCTTTATAATATTACACAATAGTTTTGATTATCTCCTTTTGTTTCATAAAGGCACAGTAGTTTATCATCTGTTCTTCTGTCTATGGATGGTAGAAACATAGATAAAGCTTGTAGGAAATTGCTCCTCTTTATGCCATTTGCCTGGGCTAGTGCAAAATTAAGGTTTGTTCCAGCTGTTTTGGCAGTCATCAGAATTTGAATTTATTTCAGGTTCCTCAGAAAATTCAGTACCTTACAGAATCAAACCCAGCATTAGAAAAATAAAGAAATATAAATATTCAGAATGTCACAGTTTGAATTTTTGTGGTGAAAATTTGTGTTATATAATAAATAAAAGATAATGAATATACTATGTATGATGAATATAGAATTCTAAACTGGTCATTTCCCTATTTTAATCAGTCTTCTGGCACTCTATTTGCTATTTTACACTGGACAATTAACTCAACTTTGCCATACTTTAACTTCAAATGCCTCACTCAAAAACACCGTAATTATGTTTTACTGTACCAGTTACCCAGCATTTTGGGGATCTGACACTACTTATTTAGTTAATAAAAATTTCACAAATAGAAGAAAACAAATAAAATTATGCCCAAAATGCTATGCTATCATAAAAGAGCAGTTGCAGTCTAGAATGACCAAAAGTCAGAAGTATAAATCTTGTATCAGCCAAAATTTTAATTCAGATATGTCTCATACCTTACCTTTTAAAGGTTTATTTTCATTTCTAGCCCAATAGCCTAGCATGTCAATGTTTAGAACATATACATATGACATGCAAAAAAGAGTCTGTGCAATGTGTGAGGACACACTGTCTTTGAATCTGCAGTTTGCTTTGTCTCTATTAACCATGCAGCATTATGTTCAAACTATGGCAATTCTCTCTTTAACAAGCAGTAGATAATTTTTTGATTGCAAACTGAATTAATGAAAAATATATATTTCCTTCAAACAAAATTATTATTTTGCTTTTTATTTATATGGATTAAACCACACATGTTCCACCTCATTTGTACATAGGATTTTGGTCTAGTTGGGCGGACAGCTTCATAGGTAAAATAAAGGTCTGGATGATTATATTCAGAGTGTAGCAGTTAATGGTCGTACCCTACCTAGAAGCCATTAATAAGTGGGGTAACACAGAAGTTTATCCTGGGACCTCTTCTGTTAAACACTTTTGTCAACAACCCTGAGGAAGACATGGTGTATACTCATGTCAAGGTTTCAGGTCACTCCAGTTTTGGGGGACCAGCCAACACACTGGCAGGATGATGACTGAGGGGGTCCTAGATAGGTTAGCTGAATGGGCCAACAGGAGACTTATGAAATACAGCATGGATAAATGCAAAGTCTAGGCCCTAAGCAGGAAGAAGCCCTTGCAATGACACAGGCTGGGGACTGACCAGCTCTGCAAAAATGGCCCTGGGGATCATGGCAAACAGTACTTTTGGGGCTTTGGACGTCCCTTCCAACCTGAACTGTATGACAGCAATGAATAAACGCAGAAATAGTCTATCTCTTTTATCATAGTGTCATTTTGGACACTGCTATATCCCCTCCCTTGAGACACAGCTTTTCAGTGTGAGATTTTTACAATTTGAGTTTTTGTTTTACAATATACTTACTGTTTTATTAAAGGTGGCATACCTCAGGTATCCCAATATATTTTACTGACGCTGACTAACAGTTAAGCTGGTTTCTGGTACAGCAAATTAACTCAGGTCCATACTATGCTTCTATAAATCTACTATTGAAATTATGTTGGTTGTTCCCCACCTACATTTATATGGACTTAATCTGTACTGAAGCCATAATGTATTTGCAGATCACTCATGTGGGATGTTTTTTCTGTAATTGCTGTATTCTTATGTTTCACAGTCCAGATGAAATTTATCCACCTATAACTATCTCAAACTTTTAATTCATGGTCACACATATGGGGGAAATATCTCTGCGTATATGAAATGAAGGGGAGAAGTTTCAATACATGATTTCTGTTGTTCCAAGGCCACAGAAACCCCTCTCTATGGGTACTTTGCTGTCTGCTGGATGCTATCCTTTTGATGTTGATGACACCCATGAAGTGAACAGTTTTCTTCAGAACTAGTGACTTTCATTCAAAAATTAGCTGTTTGCTTGCTCCATTCAACCTTGTCAAATCCAGCCTTGACAAGACTGAGCTCCCTCCTTTTAAGGGACCCAGGATTGTTCCCACTTTAAATCTGGTTGTTTCCTAGAATTGATTCTTGCCCCTTGAAGTCACTAATGAAGTTCTGTATGTATCATGGATCCAGTGGATAATAGATGCCCCAAACATTCTTAATGAAAGGGGAAAAAAGAAGGAAAGCAGCTTTCCTTGAAACCAGAGTAGATCAGTATGACTGGAACAAGCAAAGTACTAGAGCCTGACAAACTTATCCTTCCTCTCTCACCTTCTGTCACTGGCTTCAGATATGCTCACAGCAGCAAGCACTTCACACTTCACAGTGATGAAATCAGGGTAAAAATGGAGATGAGCAAAAGATTCACAAGACTCCATTACACCAGACATTTTTGTTCTCTACTGCTCTTTCTGCTCTGACAAATTCAATATTTTTAATGAGTCCTGACAATTAAAACTACCCTGGCATAGAAGACACAAATACCACTCCAAAATTCTATTCTACCACAGTATGTTCTATTGGATCATTTGTAGCTGATAATTTGCAAGGCAGAAGATGCTTTGGGTATTTTCCCCATGAGAACAAAATCAAATGCCATCCTAATTTATTGTTTGCATTGTAAGCAGATATCCTACTAACCTTTCAAAGAGTTTTAGTTACAGTGAAAAATATAGTAATAATAATTACACATTTATTACCCCCAAAAATGCAATTACCATTAAAACACATGAACACAATAACTTCATGCTTGTTTCATAATTTGCAGTGCAGATAAAATTTCTGTATCCCTCATCCACTTCTTTTTGTAGACTACTAAAAAACAACACTTTAAAAGAAATTTTTAAATCTTTAAATATTTTTTTTTCTTCTTTAGTGTTTTCCAGGGTGCCTGACAATACAAATCCGTACCATTTTGTGTATTTTTATTGTGATCTTAATATACTCTGTGGCTCAAGGATGTGTGGTGAGTATTTAAATAAAGCATTACTTAATTTAGCATTCTGTTTAAAGAACAGCCTGGTATGGATCTGTTAAACACATACCATATTCTTGTCTGGTGAATTCCTACTGCTTTTATCGTTCATACTTGCACAGCATATTTCTTCAAAATTAAAGCCCTTTGCTATAATTTGAACTTTCACTGCCCTGAGTGAGGGTGTCAAATTAGGAATGGCAAAGCTATTAGCAAATTACACAGATAATACCTAGTCAACACCTACAGAAACTTCTATATCAAATCTTAGTATCACATAGTCCACTGATGTCATGTACTTTATGGGAAAACTATTTTTAGATGTTCAACTTGCTTACTAGTTCAATGGCTAATATTTTGTGACAGACAAGACAAGGTGTCAAACAATATTACTTATTTCTATGTGGCAATGTACATATGTCTGTGTAATAATAGGGGGATATTTTTAGTCCAGACAGATCAGAAAAGGTAAGGAGATCTTAAAATATGGGCTGTATTGCATAACAATAAGAGGTGCTTACACTGTGCTACTTACATGATCCCTTCACATCTAATGTCTAGGAAGCTTCTCTAGCATGAAGGCAACTTGCTCAATGCTTCTGATAATTGAGCTTCTTTCACTGTAGATTAGCAGCTTGTTCTATGTGGTAGACTTGAATGTCAAATGGGATTTAAACTTCCACCTAAGTATTTGGCATTTAGTTGCCTTGTCAAATTCCTAGCACTCAATTTCAGCATTTTGGCTGCTAATGCTAATGAATTAAACATGTTAGGGTACCCAGAGGAAAGAATACACACAAAAATAGCATGCTATACACAACTGGAGATGCTGAGGCGGCAGATGACTCAAATCATGCCTCTCTGCAGGATTTAGGAAATATGTTCTGACCAACAGGAGCAATTCACAATGCTAACTGAGGTGCCAAGCCCCTTATTTTGTGTATTCACTCATACCTGGACCTGCCCTGAGAGCATCTGCCAAGCTGATTCCCATGAACTGAATGGGCAGAGGATCCCTTGTCTACAAATTCCAATGTCCTGAGAAGTACCAAGAGTTACTGATGTTCAGACATTTCTGGGAATTCCTGAATATCAGCTGTGTGAGTAACACCCAGCCCTGATAGCACATAGACATATATGTGGTTCCTTATGTGCATATAAGCCCAAAATGCATAGAGGTGTGCAGTGCCTCCAGGCTAGCTAGCATCTCAGCAAGTATAGCTGACTTTGTGATTGAGATGAATACGATGACAGCTGGAACCTTTGTGGATCAGCCCCCATAGATCTGATGCTTACTTTGACCAAAAGACAAAAGCCACCACTGTTGCCACTTAAAGATGCTGAAAATGAGAAACAGACATCGCAAGGCCTAAGGCAATGTTGAACATCGGTGGAAGAAGACAGATTAGAATTCAGTTCTGGCCTCCAACAAGGCAGTGATCATTCAGTTATAACTTCTAATATTATAGGTCACTAATATGTCTTTATCCTTTACTAAAGCAAATATAGCTTTTAAATAGCATTTAAATGCTTGGGAGAAATGTTTAATCAGTAGAAATTATTAGTTCCTGCAAAGTGTGCCTCTAGAATTCTCAGCTAGCAGAGGAGCTAGGTGTTGAGGTTTCACTCTTAGTTGTAGAGCAGATGGTGTTTTCCTGGATGGATTGCACATTATTTATGAAGCCCCCATGCATGCCTGTGTTTTCAGATAAGTTTAGTATGAACAGCATTTTTAAGGATATTGAACAAAATCACATTAAATGGATTTTTCACTTCATTCTTTCTCATATCATTTCATAATATTAGCCATTTTGAGTTTAACTCACATTTTATCTGTTATGTCTCACCTTTTTAAATGACTACAACCCCCCGTAAAATATATTGCTTAATCACCTTTCAGGTTGTCAGTTATTTTACAGCATGCTATAAAATTTCATTATCAGTGGTTAGGATGAAATAAAAAGGTCTAATAACACACTTCAAAAGAGAAGCTTAAGTACAGGGCAGGGCTTATTCAGCGGTGCCTGTTAAAATCAATTTCACACTACCATCCCACTCACCTCGCTTACGCTAACTCTTATCCTCTCCCTTTGCAAGGGGTGAAGGTTGGAGTGCAATTAAAATTGGAGCTCTAGGGACTTAATTTTATTTGCCAGAAATTCCTCCTTTCCTTGGGTAACAGCTCTGAGATGTGTACATGACATTACCTTTGGAAGAAACAGGTTAAATTTCCTCAAATTTCCCATAAGAAATGCACTAAAATATTTTTTTTTCCTGGTCAATAGAAGAAATGGATAACTAAAATGGCAGCAATAATGAAGGATGAGGCCTTATATATGAATCATATGTGATAGCAGAAGTATCTCTAAGGTGGAGAAAAGATATTATTCATGTTTAGTTTTTCAATCAAAGATAAAAATATGTTTTATTTTATGTTTGATTAATTGATTTTGATACAATTTATGTAGTCAATAAAACATTTCCATGCTTTGTGCAAGAACCTTTCTCACCTGCATGGCCACATAAAATGTTTACTGAAGTTCCTTAATTTTGCAGGAGTATGTTTGCTTGAGAATCTCTTGGTTTTGAGCACTGAGAGGGAAACTATTCAACTAAGCCCAGACTTTAATTGTTTAGCCTTACTGGCATCTAATGAACAAAGTGTGTCTCCCACCTAAAACTGAGTAAAGCATTACAGGAAAAGGAGAGAGATTTTATTACGGCAGTGAACTGGATGGGAACTCCATGGGCACATTTTCCCAATTAGAAATGAACTACAGTCAGCCCCCACAGCAGCTGCTTTTTATGTTTATTTCATATTTAACTTTCTCCCCTTCTCACCTCTCCTGTATTTTCTAGGTTGGCTGTATGCCTTGGGTTTGGAATACCAATTCCAGCAGTTCAATAGTTATCATTTCTCCTGGTGGAACAAATAAAACCATGAATGAACTTCCATGTGACACAGCCCACTATGCTTTCCTTTCCTGTGTAGTGGGGACTCTCACCTTGGCAATATTTCTACGTGTATCTTCCTTGCCAAAAATGATTCTCCTGCTTTTTGTTACAATTTTGTACATAGTTATTCTGGAACTCAGTGGTTACAGAAAAGCAGTGGGGTAAGTATCTTGCAAAGTTAAAACAGTGGGTTTTTCTGTATAGGTAGTCATGATATTGACTACTCATCTGTGAATTGTCCTCTAGCATTCAGTGCTGCTTAGGGCTGTATACTCAGTAGACCATAGGAAATACTTAAGCCATCGTCTCCCCAGCAATTGTAGAGTCTAGTAATATCCATCAACAGGAGATCATCTTTTGGGAATTAACTACTCTTGCCCCATTATTCTGTAGTTTTGTGCTAACATACCTCAGCTGAACACACTACAGTCTAATTATAACAAGAAATAGAAAAACACAGTTAAAAACTTCCCTTACATATTTCAGTAGTCCTCAACCAATTCCAATTTCATTTAAGCTTTTTATCTGTTGAATGTTTTTATATTTGCTAAGTAAAGGCATGTACATACATTGCAATAATGTACAGCATTATAAAATCATCAAGAAGTCAAATGTTGTGTGATGCAGTGATGAGATTTACTGTCACCTATCTCTCTGCCCATATGAGCCTCTTCAGAAAAGGCTAGTGATTAGGTCATAGCCACATGTTCTAAACTAAAGATATTATATTAAAAATATGCAGTGTTGAGTATTAGAAAACCTGGAATAACCCATTTCCTTTCCTTTTATTTTTAAGGGGTGGCTCCTTTTATATGCGTGGCTATGAACCAATACTAGCCATCTTGCTATTTTCTTGTGCTTTGGCACTGCATTCCAGACAGGTGGACTTGAAGCTGCGTCTGGACTACCTCTGGGCCGTGCAGGTAAGTCATAGGACTTTTCTTTCAAGTATCCATGCACACAAAACGATGTCTGACTTTTTGAACTGGCTTGCAAATACTTTCAGAACAAATTATTTTGACTAAGACACTTTCAGAATTTTTCATGCCTGTTGGTTTTTACACCGAAGAATTGTTAGAACTTTCTTTCCACAGACCTACAAATTCATTTGCTCTGGAGAACTTTGTTTTTTTGTTTGTAGTTGTTCCTTAACACTACATCATTAAATAAGTAATATATTTATATCTAAGGTACTTTATGAATAGAGAGAATTTCAAACATGGGAAATTGACTGTTAGCAGTAGAAACTTGTGATGAAGTTAAATCCATAGGTTTTTTTCATAAACTGATAAAAGGAAATACTTATACACATATGATGTAATGAAACTGTGGAACTCTTTCCCAAAGGAAGATTGAAAATTGATTTAGATACCAAGTACCTGGACTTCTTTTTGAAAATATATTTCCTAGCTATCATAATCACAGCAAAATCTATAGAAATTATACTAGCCATGAGGGGTATTAGGAAATGTTTACCTCTTGTCACGTCTCTCAGCGGTCCTATTCCCACCTCGGAAGTGTTTCACACTGACCCCTGAGGGAAGGAGAAAGTTAAAGAAGATGTTAAGTTTGGGTTTGTGGAATTTGGAAGTTGCCTTTACACTCTTGTAGCTCACAGAGGTCACATCCTATTCTCACCTACACCCTGTTAATTATGTTAAGAGGACTGTATAAATCATCACAGTGCTTGCTTTTATGTGTAAGATCAAGACTGGAACACATGAGTTAAATACATCCCTGGCTCTACTGTATTACCTAGAATGGAGAAATCGGGAATGTCTTAGCTCTATTATCTTCTACTCTTTTTTCTATTTTTCTACCTAACACTTAAGCTCTGTTGGGATCTTTTGTTTGTCTTGATGTCCAAGACCATGTCCACCTCCTTTATGATTTAAGTTTATCTTGTTCTACAATTTCTGTGGACTCTGTGCTGTTTAACTGAGTCAACACATGTGATATCACTTCATTTAATTTTTGTCCTATGACCTGCAGTATTGATAGGTGGCCTGTCAGCCTCAGAAGTTTGTTTTGGACAAACTGATAATAGTTTCCATTTGCTGTGGTGCCAAATAGAGTTTACAGGTGGAAAAAAAAAAAATCCCTGATTTTGAAACTGAGAGCAGCACATGATTAGCTGTATAGAGGCTATCTTTATATAGATTGGCAGATGGTTGAGGTATGTGAGTGCCATATGATCCATGAATACAAGACCACCTGTATGCTATTCCTAGCCATGAAATAGATTATCAAGCAGGAAGATACTGTTTTGTTATCCTGTGGCCTTTAAACAGGTCAAGAGTGAATTCCAGCATCTTAAATGCTCTTCATCATTCCCGATACTATCACTTGCATGGCGAATTGTGCACCCCTAAGGAAATTACTGCTTGAAGATTCTTGGTTTTAAATTGGCTTTTAATTAGCAATGAATTAGTTTTAAAAATTCAAGTGCAGGAAACTAATGGGATGCTTGCCTGCTGAAAGACCAGAACTAGACAATAGTGAAGGGAGAAATATAAACTTTTCCATTTTTTTGAGATCAAGTTTTACAGAAATACCTAGTCATCTACCACAATTGTTAAAATCATTGTGCACTTACTCCAAAGGACAATAAGGTGAATTAAAACATATGGATGCCTAGGTATCATTTCAAAAAGTGCTTTTCATCTGAGAAGATCAAATGCCATTTTCAGATCTTTTCAATTGCAGATCAGGTACTTGTGTAGTACCAACTTGTCCATGAGATTTACAGAAAGGAAAAAAAAATCAGTATACGTAGAAGATTCAGAAATCCAGGATCAACATAACTACCATTCTTTGAAATCAGTATGCTGGATAGATGCTTGGCCTCTTTGACAATCTGGGCATATACTTTTGTTCCTCTTGATTCCACATGGAAGTTCTATTACCTGTACAATAAATAATAGTGGATAACATGTTGTAAGGAACGTTGTCCTGGTTTCCACTCCATATATTAATTGTAAATGGTATTGAATAGAAGGGCTAATTAACATAACACGCAGAAGTACCATCCTGATGCATGTTACAGAAATGCTTACGGTGCTTACCTATTCAAATGGATAAGTTAAAAAAAAAAAAACAAAACACAAAAACAAAACCAAAACATTATCTTTGTAATTATTAGGCTCTTTGGCAGAGTGAAAATGTGAGTATTAAAAGCTCTGGGAAGACTGTTGGTTGGAAATATCTATATATTAAAACTGCCCTTGAATAGTTAGCAAACTCCAAGCCACTAATTGTTTAACGATCTTTAAGGGAATATAAGGGTAAAAAGCCACCTTTCTGATTGACAATTTTGTCTAGCTGCTGGACTGCAGGAGCCCTGCATTCCTTGTCATGTTTCTCTACAGCCACAGTGCTACTTACAGTTGAACCACATTGGTTTAACTTGGTTACATTCTTGGTAGCAGAAGTTTTAGAAAGACCACTGACTTAGTGAACAGGACTGTGGAGATTTTCTTCTGGTTTACAGAGTGAGTGTGCTGGTTCTTTGTGCAAACACTGAATTGCATGAACCACTGCTAGATCTGGAGACTCACAGCTCCCAGTAACCAGCCGCTGCCTTGTGAAAGATGTGCCAACATGGTACAACATGTATTTTTAGGAAGCTTCTCAATTGTTGGCTTACAACTGGGAGAATTTCAGACTCAAGGGCTATTTCGAAAGCTATACGCACTTTGTTTACATACTTTTAGTAAGGCTCATTGTGGGGCTAATCCTGTAAAAATGTTCCCTGGTGAATAAAACCAGTTGTGGCATAAGCTGCAATAAAAAGGATTTAATAGATATTTTCATTTACTTCATCATGAACAACAAACAGTCTAATACTAACTAAATGATATTTTAAACGCTGAAAGTATCTTGCAGTTAATACCATTATTATGAAGAATATATAGATCGATGCTCAGTGGTCTATGCTAAGGTCAGAGGAAAACCCATCTCCACAGAGTTTGTCTGCCACATCAGGAAAAAAATGTGTTTTGAGGAAAAGCAGATTTCAAAGAAGAAAAACTGACTTAGAAAAATGATACAGTTCCAAGAAAAGTTAATCTAATTTCCATGCATCTAGGTTACATAACCAGAACAGAGATAATACAGTATGATTTATGTATGTCATGTGGAAAAAATACATTTTTCTGATTGATGATAAGTTGTTAAAACATTTATATTTGTACTTACTCTTCACACGTCAATGGTGTTATAGCTTCTTGTTGATTTTGTTAGGGATTTTTCTGTGCCAAATTTAACCTTTCTGAATATCACAGTATTTCCAGAAAATATCTTTTGGGGGTTTTTTAACAGGCAGTGGGAAAAGAATTTCATTTTCTACATAACATTGTTGAGTAATTCTGTGTCTCATGACAATAACTGTGAATAGCAAATGTAGGCACATTTTACTTCCTTGTGACTGATAATCCCTTCTTTTTATGCAAATTACTCAGCAAAACTGGGTAAAAAAGGAAAAAAAAATTGGACAAATAAATACAAGCAATAAATCTATGAAGAAGCTAAAACTGCCCCAAAAATGGAGTTGCTCACTCACCCAGGATTTGTCAGGGGAGGAAAATAAGGATAATACAATGATATGACTGTCGCATTCTTTAGGGAATACTAGAATATTATTCAGCTGTCTGTTCTAATCCGTGACACTTGTAAGAAATACGTGTTTTACAGTCGGCAGGCAAGACTTGCCAGGTGCGCTTGCACTTCCTCCTAAAATCTGGCCCTACAGAGCAGTGTGATAGGTCTCTTCCCTGTGGTTTTAGTGCCACCTTCAGGTACATAGATGATGTTTCTGCGGCACCGGTGCCCAGCGTTTTGAAACTGGATTTTTATGGGGTAACTCTTCAGTCAGTGACATTGCTACAGCATTTTTATACTTATTAAACAATCACCTGATAGCTCAGGTAATACAACAGCTCAGACCACTTCCTTGAACAAAGGATGTAACCAGTTACCAGCATTGTAGGTATGGGGTGCTGTGTAACTTTGTAAAATGCAATAGGTGTCAATTATGTTGATGTCAGAAGCCATAGTACCAAACAATTTTTCAAATTTTGTGACCAGGTCGGAAGCAAACCCAAAGCCTGCTTTTAAATACTGCAGCTCTGCAAAATGACCTAGCTGCCACAAATACCAAACAGGTATAAGCAAAAGGCAGAATGTGAAAAATTATGTTGCTCATGCATTTTCTTTCATATGTATTTTCATTCTTGTTTATTTTCACAATAATCTGCCTTGTTTTTTGAGCTAGCAGCTATTGCATAAGTATCATGCTGGCAAATTTCCTTAATTAACCAATAGGAACAGAGGCAAACAGATGAAGGTTTGGATACTATTTAGCTGTCTGGATAATATTTCCACCAGGAATGTAAGTACCTGTGATTTGTGCTATTTTAATCTTCTTTCTCCAGTCTGAAGTACTCCTTCTCACCTGTCAGTGTCTGTTTTGCCTGGAAAGGGATGATGCCTACACATTGTTTTATCTCAGCTGCTCAAAGAGTAGGTACTAGGAGCTCATGAGTCACAAGGAGGAAAGACAGTTTTCATGGCATTCCCTTGAAGGGCAGAAAGCAGGAAGCTGGAAAAGGGTCCAGACGATATCAGTAATTGGTTTACTTCCCTCCCCATACAGCCATGTGATGGGATAGTTTTAGAATCCGAGCTGCTGAACATGACAAAGTCTTCTTTTACCTCACCTTCACTCCTTATCTTGCCTTGCAAGAGACACAATGAGATCTTTCCTCTTTCCCCAGGCAGCTCCTGAGAATTTGCATATATGAAAGCTGTCTTAGGCAGTGCAGGGTGAGAGGATGGGTACTCTATGCAGTCGCAGCAGAGAAGGTACACTGCAGTTCATATTCCTAGCAGATCACTTTATTAAAGTCAGGATGTGAGACATTTTCTATGTCTGCATGGTATAAGTGCAGTCCATGCAGAGACTCCAGCTAGGGTACCAGCAACAGTATAGCAGTATTTACCCAGTGTGTGGTCTAAGCTGATAAACCTTGCTTTTCAACACAACTGAGTATCTCGGGAGTGCTATGCTAATTCCATGAGCATTCTGCTTCTGGGTCTGGGCCTAGCTCAGGAAAAGCTGCCGCACAAAGGCAAGTGTCTCCCTGAACCAAAAGGAGAGGGTGCACTTCTCTCTCCCTGTTGGCTAGGAAGTGCCTGACCTGAAATAGGCCAGGGCACAAAAAGCTAAGAGCACTTGACCTACATTCCCCTTGTTCTGCTGTTTACATAATTTGTCTCTATTTAAGGTTTACTACCATTACCCACCATGATATTATTCAAGGGCCTTCCATGACCTTAGTGACTTTCATCTCATTTCTGGCAACAGAACCTTCTCAGAGTCAAAATTGTAGTTAACAGTTTTGCATCCGAAGACGCTTGTTAGGTGTGTTGGAAATTAAGCATTCTACTGTGTTTCTTAGCAATGCTGACATCCTTGATGCCTGTCTCTGCTCTTAGAGGCTTTTACCACCCCTTCAGTCATGACTTTGCTTTGGTTTGAGCCACTAGCTCTTCACTGAAGAGCTCAGTTCTCAGCCTCTTAGTCCCAGTTGTGGTCCAGTCATTGTGAACATTGTTACACCCATACCTGCACGCACACAGTAGTGTCATTGGCATAGTCCCAGTTGTGGTCCAGTCATTGTGAACATTGTTACACCCATACCTGCACGCACACAGTAGTGTCATTGGCATAGTCCCAGTTGTGGTCCAGTCATTGTGAACATTGTTACACCCATACCTGCACGCACACAGTAGTGTCATTGGCATAGTCCCAGTTGTGGTCCAGTCATTGTGAACATTGTTACACCCATACCTGCACGCACACAGTAGTGTCATTGGCATAGTCCCAGTTGTGGTCCAGTCATTGTGAACATTGTTACACCCATACCTGCACGCACACAGTAGTGTCATTGGCATAGTCCCAGTTGTGGTCCAGTCATTGTGAACATTGTTACACCCATACCTGCACGCACACAGTAGTGTCATTGGCATAGTCCCAGTTGTGGTCCAGTCATTGTGAACATTGTTACACCCATACCTGCACGCACACAGTAGTGTCATTGGCATAGTCCCAGTTGTGGTCCAGTCATTGTGAACATTGTTACACCCATACCTGCACGCACACAGTAGTGTCATTGGCATAGTCCCAGTTGTGGTCCAGTCATTGTGAACATTGTTACACCCATACCTGCACGCACACAGTAGTGTCATTGGCATAGTCCCAGTTGTGGTCCAGTCATTGTGAACATTGTTACACCCATACCTGCACGCACACAGTAGTGTCATTGGCTTAGTCCCAGTTGTGGTCCAGTCATTGTGAACATTGTTACACCCATACCTGCACGCACACAGTAGTGTCATTGGCATTTCTCTTCCAGGAGTTTCATTACTTTATTGAAGCAAGACAGAAAGAGGAGAAAAGACATCACATGCCTTAAAGCTCCGTCAAAAGGAAACAACCTGAAAACCTAGAGTGTCTTCTCTCATTTATTTTATGTTGATATATTGGGATTGTCTTTTATTTCTGTGTGTCAAAGGCTGGACAGAAGTCCAGCAACATGACCGTGGTCACAAGGGTCTGCTTCAGTTCTGGCAGCTGTTCTTGAGCTGTGACTTGCTCTGAAACCTTTTTTATGAATCATACACAATGGTAGGAAACACTACATATTGCTGAAGCACCTTCTCAATCACGTCTTCCAAAATGAATGCTTTGGTCCATGACTGGGCATGGCAAAGGAAACTGATCACACATTTCCAGATCAGAAATAACAGCTGCTGCCAGTGATTGAGCAACATCAGTATCCATGCAATGCATCAAACTGATTACTCCACTTACTTGCCCCTGCTTAATTACCTTGACTTGTCCAGAAATCTCTACACCTTGGTCCAAAGGTGTATTGTTCTTTAGGCTGCTATTCTGCCCCATATGGTATTGGGACCTTAACTAAGAAGCTTAAGTGTTCCTAAGAAGAAAGTAAGAAAAAAGTTCTGATTCAAAAAAATAGAGGAATGGATAAGCAAGCCCCAAATGGATTTTTTTATTCAGAGCATGAATTCAGTTTGCAAATCTCTTTGCTGTCATCAGAGTATAATTTCCCATATTCCAGTATGATGTAAAATGGAATTGTAAGCTTGGTTTGAATCTTAAGCTTGAAAAAGCTTTTTATTTTTACTATTAAAACATTTAAATTCCAATAGTCAGACTAAACACAAAAGGCCATTATACATGTTTATAAACAATAAGACAGAGTTATACCGTCAAAATAGGGGAAAAAATATTTTAAGAAAACATCATATGAAATTTAAACAGCAAAAATGTGTCAGGAAGACAGCTCACAAACAGGAGACAGATACTTGCTTAGAAAAGAAAATTTAGTTATATTTCTTGCAGAGTTTAACAGCTATTTAATGTTTACTGATAATTCACCTCTGGCATAAATTCTGATTCTTATTACACAAATTAGAGGAGAAGCTGAGAATTTATGTCAAAAGGGAATAACTCCTGAAGAAATTATGTTTATAAAACTAGTTCTCTTTCAGCATTCTTTCTACTTGTAAAGAAATTGAAGAATACTGAAGTAAACAGCAAGGAGAAACAGACTGTGTGATTGGAATAAAAGGGTTGTTTCCTAAGTTTTGACATGAAAAGCAAAAATCAACTTCCTGAAAAATAAAAATCACATGCAAAAGACTATTGTAAGACTATACAAAGGCAAGAAGTGACTGGTTTTCTCCTACTTAGACAGGAATGGATAGTGAGAAAAATATGTGGACTTCGTAATAGATCAGGATAGCAAATTCAAGATACAAAAAGGACACCAACCAAGATTGGAGTGGGTTCTTTAGTGGTTTATGTGATTGTAGTTTCTTAACAATGCCTGAGAATTCACCTTCCAGTCTTCTGCTGACTGTAACTAGATAAACAAAATCATACTAGAACCTCGGCAGAAGATTTGTGTTGCCAGTCTGTGAGTGTGATCATTGAGCAAAGAATAAGCTGTCATTTCTATGAGATTAATTATGTGGTGCTGATCAATTATTTTCTAATTGAAAACAGAATGTGGGGCCAAAAGTCACTCTAACAAGGAGCAAATTCCAGAGAAGTAATTTTGCTGAAGAGTCTACTAAGGACTAGGCTGGAATTTGCAAACCTAGGAGTCCCAAATGAGATCCCTAGATATTCAGTATTTTTCCAATACGAGGTCTGACTTTTTGAATTATTTCCTAATGCATGACTCCCACTAATTCCTGTGAGTCAAGACACTTGCAATAAGATACCACTGTCTTGGGTTAAGGGCCTCAGCTGTGTTAACTCCTAGGCACTCTTTCTGAATGCTGTCACTCACATGAATGATAGAATTTCTGTTGCTATTGTGAATAGAAATTTCTGTGCACAGGAACTATATATGTGTTCATGATGAATGCCAGAGTAACTAAAACCACCTCTAGAAATGCAAATTATTTTTATATTAAAATATTTTTTTAACATTGCATTTCATTCTTAAGGATGTTCAATTTTAAAACCTTTTCCTCTCTTGAAGTTACTGTCTTACCAGGTCTGTTTCCGTTTTACTGCAAAATGACATAGGTTTGCTTTAAACACTGGTGATTCTCCAGGCTTCTCTTCTTTGAAACTCTTGCTGTCACTGCTGTCACTTCCTATCTGGGATGTAACTGGTCTCCAAGGCCAACGTGATCTAAAAGCATTTATTCTAACTTTTTAATCTGTAAAAATATCAAGGGCCTATTTAAAAGAACAGGGAACTACAGAAGACATCAATACACTTAGCTGATCAAGCCCTGAAAGTAGTCATCAGCACAGAGACTTTAGGTTGAATTATTAAGGACTTAAAGGGATTTTGCCCCATTGTAGAAGCAAATGGTGGAGGAGAATGGTTCCCACTCTACTTTGCAAGCATTATTTTGCTCAGTTTAATTTGAAAGGTTGAAGTTGTTTCATGGCTTCAGCTAATTTTTGGGGTTTTGGAAAGTTTTTTCTTTTCCTCTATCCCCACAGGCAGAAGAAGAGAGAGATGATATGGAGAGAGTCAAGCTGGATAATAAAAGGATTCTTTTCAACTTGTTGCCAGCACATGTTGCACAGCACTTTCTCATGTCTAATCCAAGAAATATGGTAAACCAAGATAAAATTTGAATATACGGTGATGTTCTATGGGTGTGACCCTGTGTAGGTTGGCTCACCTTTCTGCTTTCAGTATGTTTTCAAGAAAGGCTTGGACTTACAAAATTTCATTCATGTTAAAAGGAATAGTTTGTAAATCTTGTGTTCAAGAATTAGATTGGGATTATTTAGTTCACTGTAATGTCCTCCTTTTCTGAAGAATTTTAATAAAAAGCAGGATAAGGGAAATTTGTACCATTCAACATTAATGCAGTGTCTGCATGCAAATAACTTTTTTTCAGTCAGTTTACAACATTGGAACCTATCACAGTATTTCATAAACTTGGTTTGGTTTTGAATGGTGAAGTTTATGAACTGCCAGACACTTCCATATGGACCACTCTAGTTCTGGAAATACACTGCCATTACCAAACCCATCCATTTAAAGTTAAAACCAGAGAATTATACGCATCCAAGGAAGACACTAGATTTTAACATCAAAGGCTGCAGTGATTAAATAAATTGATTCAGGAAGCCATTACCAAAGTCCTTCCAGTGCAGCTGCAATACCTGCAACACTGGAGTAGACGTAAAGGCCATGATACTGCTCTGGAGAGTTTGGATCAAGGTGTTTGAACCACAGAAGAGTGGTTTTACTTTCCATGAGCCCTCCAAATTCTTAAGCAGAAACCTTTCTGTACAGAACAGCATTATATTGTTAATGTTGAATACAGAACTCTGCATCTCAGGGAAAGACATAAAGGAGCAAGGCTTGTTTTGTGCTGCAGGGTAAATTTGTTCTGTCTTGTATTTTAGCTATAAAACAAAATTGAGAAAATACAATTATATTTCTCATACAATAAAAGTCCTACAACTGTTAAGATTTTCTACAAAATTTTTACTCACTGTTTCCATGTCTAAGCAGAGAACAAGACTAAGTTGTTTTAAATGGGTTTAATAGTTTAGGTGTTAATTTTCTTTCGTGTTTTTGAGTGGAGAGATCTTTCAACAGTTTTTTTAATAGGGCTGGCTTTGTCTCTACCAGAATTTATGGGTTTTGTCCTAGCTATTGGTTAGTAGTAGAATAAATAACATAATTATGATGCCTGGTTCAGATTAATATTTTAAAATAAAATTTGTATCTGCTCATGAACTACAGGATCTTTATTACCAGTCATATTCACAAGTGGGAGTGATGTTTGCTTCCATCCCAAATTTCAATGATTTCTACATCGAATTGGATGGCAATAATATGGGAGTGGAATGTTTACGCCTGTTAAATGAAATTATTGCTGATTTTGATGAGGTAAGGTCTAAACACTTTGTATTTGAACATATCAGTTCTACCAAATTATTATCATCAGATATTATCTGTAGCAACTCAGCATATCTTGAACTGCCTAATAAAACAGTAATGTAAACTTCCTATCTAATTGTAGTTAGTAATTGTAGCTTCTCTGAATTGCCCGGTTTGTACTTTTAGGCACATGAGTCTGACCTCAAATTTCTCTAGTATAGGAAGAGTATTAAAATGTGAGTTAATGGTAGTTTTTTCAATGACCTCAAAGTGGGCAAGCATCAATTCACCAAAAATAGATGGTTTAATCAACTTGCACATATTATATGATAGCTATGGTTACTTCTCTAAAAAATTATGTAATATTTAACAGTTTTATGTTTTAAACAAAGCTTATGGACAAAGAATATTATAAGGACATAGAAAAGATCAAGACAATTGGGAGTACATATATGGCAGCTGTGGGACTCGTGCCTACTTCGGGAACTAAGGTAAGAAGTTTTTACATAGCAGTAATTTGTGGAAGAACTATTCTCCTTCAATTTCCAGAGGAACACCAGAAACACAACTAACTCTCTGTGATTACAGATAACTTGTATTACTTCTTTACAACAATTTAAATCTGAAATTCAAAGAACAAATGTAGCCTGAAAAGAAAAATTGCTATCCTCGCAGTGGCTCATGTGGCTTCATTTGGGATTTCATTGTCTGCAGCTCTGGATTCTCTGCAAATTGGCATATAAAGCTCCTATATTAGAGTGGTAGTATTTTAAACCCTCTGTTTTAGGATGACCTTGTAAGATACAGAGAAGGGGAGACTCTAGATGTAATGAATTGCTGCAAAACTAACACAAGAATATTAAAATGTGATTTCTTTTTTTATATTGAATTCTGGGTGCAACCTACAATCAAAACAAACAGCATCTCCCAGCCCCTAGCATGGACAGGAACTTAGTGCTAGCTACATTGCTACACTTTACCCTGGTCCCTCCAAATCAGCTCTTCTTTGTCTTTACTGCGAGCATTCTCTTTACCCCCTTAATTACTCAGCAATCACAAAAGTCAAAGTGATTTCAGACCGACTAGTTCTGGGTCTGTATCCTCCGGAGTGTGTTTCTCACCTTAAGTTTGTGTCTTGGGAGAGAAATTTCCTACATTTGCATGCAGCATCTGGAAAGGCAGAAAACCCTGTGAACAGTAGACTGAATATACTGTAAACAAAGTACTATGCATGTTAATAATTATATTAATAAAATTAATTTATGAAAAAATATTATTAATAATATGAGGAATATAATGAAAATTAAAGCAATCCATGCACCTAGTCTGCCCAGAATTTCCAGACACCTCTCCCCTGTTCTGATATGCATGTACGTATGTTGTAGAGGTACACTCATGCATATGGTTTAGCATTAGAAAATAACACCAAATTAGAGGGCAAAAGCAAAAAGTGCCTGAAGATGGCCTGTGAACTTTCTAGCAACAATTATCCTTGTTAAGTAATTTTTTTTTAAAAGGCCACACTGAAATGAACTATTAGAATCATGTTGGAGTATATGACATGCCACTAATTTTCTGATCCGCGGGGTATTTACAACTGATGCTTTCCTTTGTATCATTGCTAGAAATCTACATATTACAAAAAGGTATTTTTAAAACGCTGTTTATGTTGAAATATTTGACTCCTGGGTCCTGACACATGCAAAAAAATGTTGTTCAGTGTGATCTCAGTCAAACAGGCAACAGCATAGTTGTGTGTCTGCTATAAATGATCTTTGAACTATAATCCTGAAAACAAGTGTGTTATTGGGTAACTTTGGCAGCATATGTTCCAAAACCTTAACATGTTTATCTCTTGTATTTTATAGTTGCTAACTGAAGGGTCAGCTGAGTTAGCCCAGTACTGAAGATACCGCTCTGAGTTTATGATAGTAATGTATTTAAATCACTGCAGAAGGTCTTGTACAGGACTCTGCATTTCTCTGAAATCTTGGGGCAAATTTTGATCTTTTCTGTACAGGTAGAATTTATTTAACATTCTGTATTTCAGAAAACCTAAAGATCTTTTATGAAACAGCCAGTATTTTTTACTTTAACTTGAGGTTTCGGCTCTTCTGTCATCTCTTCCCACTGACCGTGCGATGCAAATGAGTAGAAATTATTCACATCCTTTTGGCAGTTTCCCACTAGGCCTCCAGCATGCAGCTATGTATCAGAAGTCTCATGATCCTGGGTAGCCCATCATGCACAGACGATCACTGCCAGCCATCACACAGTCCCTGGGCTGCCCAATGGAGTCATATGTGTTCATGGGGAGCCATAAGAGACTCAGGTGCTTCTGGTCTCCCCTCTGCCAGGGGTGTACTTGCTTCATCAGAAAATCTGGCATAGCCTCTGATTATGAGCCACCAATTTCTAGCATTTGGACATGAGCAGAAAGCAGTGGATGGGGTTAACTGTGTTCTTAACTGAAGATATTAACACACATAAGAACCCAATACCCTGATGAAGTTAAATATTTAAATCCCATATTTTACCGTTCTGTGGCTTCTGCAGCTTGACTTTGGCAGGTTACTATAGTAAATGCACATTGCCTCTTTCAGAGTGGTTTTGCTGCGATGCTCTGGGCAGTCTTTCCAGTAACTATTCCTCTGATGTTTAAATAAATAATTGCTTGCCAATTACACCATCAGGGCAGCACACAAACCAAGCTCTCTGTAGACCTTTTGCACAATATAAGTTCATTGTGTGTGTGGAGTCCTTTGAAATTACGTCTGTGATTTCACCAGGGTCCTGACTCTGTGGTGTTCTTCAGCGCAGGTTCAAAAGAGTTTGCCAGTAATCCTTTTGAAAGGCATCTGTCACCTGCAGCTCATCCATTATTTGTCACCAGTACTCTCTCCTGCAACCATGAGGGGCATTGCAGGAAATCAAAGCATTCATCAGACAGCAAAGAAATGGAAGGATAATGAATATAAATATTAGAGTATTAAATAAACTATACACTCGTCCCTCTCTCCTCCACACATTCAAAATTCTCTCCTCTGTTGGAAGTGTAGCCATCAGCTCTTTAAACTTAATTCTTGTTCTTCCATTGTCTTGGTGAAGCTGGAAAAGAGTAGAGCTAGTTGACATTGCAATAAGCAGACTCCCAGAGACCCAGGCAGGTAAATAAAAATATCCTTTCTAAAATTTGGGACTGGCCCAAGGATGATTTTCATAATTTTTTGTTAGTACTTTAATTTTTGTAAATTTCCCAGCCACATGAAGGAACCCTTTCAAACTGATCCCAATAAAGCAAACTGTTTCTCAGGTTTCTCAGCAACTGTCAAGTACCCCATTTGTAAAATCTCACTATCACGACAAAAACCCAGCGAGTTCTCATCTCATGCCAGCTACCACAGCCCTGTTGTGCAACACCCTAATGAAGCTAGACTACCACTGACCCTGTGTTTCTTTCTCTATATCCTACCTTTAGCCCACTTTCACTTTGCAAATCTGTTCAAGAATTCATATTTATTATTCAAATTATAGCACAACATAAAAGCAACCATACTGAATCAGGTCAAAGGTCTATTCTAGTAACCTGTCTTTAAATAGCCAACGGTAGATCCTGGGGGAAGGGCACGAGTTACAGGACAAACATGCAAACTTCTCTTTTCCACTTTCTAATGATATGTTGCTTAAGAAATTCTAGATATAGAGATAATATATTTTTACTAATTTGTGGAAAATATTTCTTCCTTGAGTTTGAGTAATTATGCTTGAAACCAGCTAACTTTTGGAATTAGACTGAAGTCTTAAAAATTATTTTCTTATGTTTTGGGTTTTTTAATGAGTTGATACTTCAGCATTTCATTTGATCCCTTCTGGTTCTTTTGCTTTAGTTCATTTAGATATGTTTCATAACAACTCACTTCAGCTTCCTTGGAAAGGAAAGAAAATAGAGGTGTTCTGCATCTCACAGGATTAAACCTAACAGGAATGTTGTCAGTGGGAACAGCATGCACCCCATGGAGCTGAGAGCTAGCAAATGCCCTAAGAGGAGAAGAGGGCAGAAACTATAGTTATTAATAATCATCAGGCAAAGCAGTTTTGTAAGAAAGCAGGTTATATTCCCTGCCATGCTCACAACAAACATCTGCAGCTCTCTAGCAACAGAACCACTTTACCACGGGAACTTTGCTTTCCATTCTTCCCAGAAATCAAAAAGAGAGAGAAAAGAAAAAAAAATAAAAAATCAGTACTTGAGAAAAGAATGCATGTTCTGTAGCCACCATCAAGAGTTTCTTTTCACAAACAGCAAAATGGGTTAGATTATTTTCCTAAGCCATCCAGTCTGAGCCTCTCATTGTTTTTTATTTCTGTATTTCACCTGCCTCTCAGTACCATACAAATCTAATGTGCAATAATATTTTGTTTCTAGGCTAAAAAATCAATTTATTCCCATCTGAGTACACTGGCAGATTTTGCAATAGAGATGTTTGACGTTCTTGATGAAATCAACTACCAGTCTTACAATGATTTTGTCCTACGAGTTGGTAAGTCATGTTTCTATAGTTATCACACAAGAAGAACATTGTTGTTTGTTGGCTTTCCCTATGCTGTCTGCAAAGGACTACCTGTCATGTACTTGTGATTAAAACTGAAAAGCCTCCTTTAGCAGGAGAGTCACATCCATGTAGAAGGCCAGCCAGCTGGATGATGAGCATCAGCATTAAGGAATTATAATTGTGTCCAATTCCAGTGTGTTTACTTAATCTATGCACCTCTAAAAGTAAACTGCACCAATAATTTTCTACAGTATTGTTAGTGTACCCAGTCTTGTGCTTACACTGTTTTGCATTGCTAAACTGCTGAAAACTGGGTCTGACTGTACTTAACTACTAAGTTGCATCTACAAAAGCTTTGTTGGCATTAAAAGTATGATGGGAGCTTTTTGTCCACAGATGCCAAAGTCCTATTTTCTCCAGTAAATAAATCCTCTGCTCTTCACAACACAAACCTTCCCATGCAATCCTTTAAATCTTACTACATGTCTTACCTCTCTGAGTCCTTTCTTAGAGAGCAAGTTCCCCTCTTCCCTTCCTTCCCTGCATCCTGCTTCTCTCCTATGGTACTTCCACTGCTGTCTCATTTCATTGTATAGTCTAACACAGATCTGTTTATCCAGCTTCTTTCTTTATATATTTTCATGAACTGTGAGAATGGGCTGGACAAGAGGAAAAGTGAGGTTGCAAGCACATGAAGATTAAGACCAAAAACATCAAGGGTAGCAATAGGAGAGTTATACATTCTTGCATTCCTGTACTTCCTAATAACTATAAACCCCAAATTTTGAACTCTGTTATAACTGTTCTTTCTATGTTCACAAAGGGGCAGAAGACAAATATCTAACCCCTATTCTTCTGCATAACTTGCCAGGGAAATCTCTTGCACAGAACTTCATGCAGAGTTTAGCATCTGCAGCTCTTCAGGGCACTTAGAAGGAACATCCTCTTTTATATTCCAACCAAGGTGTCAAAATCAGTAAAAAATATAGAAACAAGCTCTGCGTTTTTCCAAAAAAAGATGCTTGAACCTTTTTCGCATACACTTGTCTTCTTCCAGTGTCTCCGTGATCTTAGTTTTCTAGTACTGACAACCAATGTGACACGCTTCTTTTATCCCATGCCTTGTGTCTTCCATGCCACTATTTCTGTTCCACTTGGAAAGCCTCTATTAAAAGTCTTTATATGAGCAATCACAGTGGAAGTCCTAGTGAACAATTTAATTGTTCTATAGCTAAACTCTGCAGTACCACTGCTTTTCTTCTTTCCTAAAACAAACAAAAGAAGAAAATCCACAGATAAGCCAAATTTTTATGTTGTCTATCATATTGCATTTCCAATAAGATACCTCTGTGTAGTCTTCTTTTTGTTTCTAAACCTCTTACAAATGCAGAAGTCCAATTGGCATTAATTTAACATATATTTTGTCCTATAACCAGAAAAATTCTAAGGCACCTGCATTAGAACTGTTTTGCAGGATTCATGTTGCCTTTGGATAATGTGCTGTAGTCTATGAAACCAAACTCATTGTTTTAATTTTAGGTATTAATGTTGGGCCAGTAGTGGCTGGAGTCATTGGAGCCAGAAGACCACAGTATGATATCTGGGGGAACACTGTAAATGTTGCCAGCCGGATGGATAGTACTGGAGTGCAGGGGAAAATTCAGGTGAGTGCATTCTGAGGCAATTTTTCAATCTTTACATACCTCCTGTTTATACGTGGTTATATTTTCAAGACCACTTATCTAGAAAATGCAGCTTCACTCAATCTTGTGGTTCTTCTGAAAAGGGCAACATTCTCCAGATGATTCAATCATCAGAGGTATAGTTGTTTTCCATTATATACGCTTCACTATTTGGAGGCAATGAAATCCTGAAATAAATCATTTCCCATCAGAAGAAACAGAATTCTCTACTGCATTGCACACAGTTGGAGGCAAGCCTGGAAATGCCAACACTGCATGGACTAGTCCTTGTGCTGTAGGAATTCTGCCTGAATAAGGACTACAATGAAAGGATCTATGTCCATTTGCATCCTGCTGCATTTTATGTAGCTTTAAAAATTCCTTGGATATTTTGGATCGGAGAGGCTGCATGGACATTGTTGTTCTGCTAGAGCTTGGGTAGAAGCTATGCTGCACCTCTCAAAATCTCAATGAACCCTTGCAGTCCTTTATCCAGAATTTACTTCTGGAGTAAATTAACATCACTGAAACCGATCCAGCTTACAACAGTGGACAATTTGGTTACACATTTCTGTTGGACAGATCTTACTCTTGCTGTGTAATTATTCAGCTCAAGACCAGAAGTTCTGCTTCTTAGATTCCAGTTTGGTCAGTGTTTTTTAATTCCTTGAGAAAATTCTAAGTGTGCCCGAGAGCAGCAGTAGGTGCTAATTCATTCTGCTTATACATATTTCATGACAGAGAAGTAAAATGGGGAGGGGTGAGCAGCTCTAGGATTAACCTTATATGAACAGGAATAACTAATAGTTCTTTTTTTTCCTGTCTTCAGGTGACAGAAGAAGTTCAGCGGATATTAAAAAGGTGCAGTTATGAATTTGTGTGCAGGGGTAAAGTCAGTGTAAAGGGAAAAGGCGAAATGTTGACCTATTTCCTGGAAGGAAAGGCTGATGGAAATAATTCACAAACACGGTCTTTAAACTTAGAGCGGAAAATGTACCCTTATGGGAGAGCAAACATTCAAACAAAACTGGGCACCAGCTGTCCGTCGGTGTCCTCAGTTGCTAGCTTTACTGTAAAAGCTGGGCTTGGAGCTGGTCAAGCATCTGCTACTCACACAAATCAAACACTGCATTATCTTCCTTCTGTGCCAGCTGTGAAGGAGGCGTAGAGCAAAGGAGATTTGGTTGTGCCATTTGCAGTGAACTTGAATGGTTGCCTGAATTTTTACCAAGAGATCAGAGGTCATAGGCCATGGCATTAACCAAGGACCACTACAATCCAACCAAAGAGAACTTGGGGACTGTGTAACGAACTCTTGGGATGGAACATATAAGGGCTAGCAATTCTGTTAGGAAAAGTCAAACCCTGATTTTCTGGAAATGAGGAATATTTTCTTGGCATTTTTAAAGGTAAATGAAAAAAATGAGTAAACGTGCAAGCAATTATTTATGTGTGTGTGTATATATATGTTTAAATCTATATATGCACATATACAAACAGTCCTGTGTAGTCTTAATAGAGATTTATAGAGATAAACATAAAAATATGTATTTATTTACACATCCACCTGCAATGACATAGCAAAGAGATTTCTCTTTCTGTCACAGCCAGCGTTGTTGGGTCTGGGATTAGCTAAGCTGCATTTAACTGTGATAACTGTGGAGTGTGGGGCAACTGGAGACTCTCCAGGGCTACAGCAAGAGTTAGAGAAACTGCGCTCCCAGTGCACAAGTTAAAGCAATGAGAACAGTGTCCATTGTGCTGTCAATGGCAGAAATAATGAAGGCTGGATTCAGCTAATTGATAAACCCTATGGTTTTTAAAATTCTCCTTGCATGCTCCAGAAACTTCAAAAAAAAATCCAATTCAAACCATAACACTAGGATATGAAGTAGATAAACCACAGAGCTTAAAGATTTGGCAGAAGAACAATATATATTCTTTCCATTAAAAAAAAAAAAAAAAAAAAAAAAAAAGGGTGGTAGAGTTTAGAAGTTGCTGCCTCTTCACAGGGCATTTGACTCTGTGCAAGACAGAGGAGCCACCCTGCAAGCACAGCAATATGCTTATGCAATATAGAAACATTCCTTTATGTACAGTGCTGATTTTATTGAAGAGTAGAAGGTTGATATTATTTCAGGCTTTCACAAACAGCACAGGTCCTGTGGCTCAGTTCCAGAATTTAGCTTTACCTTTCTAAACAGCTCAAAGAACAGTCCTGTACTGGTGACAAACATGCCGTTGCTAGCTTTGTGACATTTGTGTGTTTGCCAACAAAGTCTTATGTCTTAATTGATTTTTAAATTTATGCCACAGTGTTATTATATCTTGATTCTACCCAGGCTCACGCTTCAAAGCTGTACAATTATAGAAAGCTGTAATTGTGAGAAACAAGTGCAGTCAAACTTTGCCCAAATGAGGAGCACACTGGTAAATGTGCCAGGAGAGTGAGGCCTGCTCTTAATCTGCATAAAAGGGAGCATATTTTGTCTGTTTTTTTTTTCTCTATTGCAGTCCACATCCTATTGTTCATGGTTTCATCTTGAAACACTGATCTGGATGTGAAATGTGGAGTGCAGCTCTGTACTCGAGGAAGGGGCAGTTGGAGGTCATCTTGCCGAGTGACACATGCTCTGCGGACAGGTGGCATACTGTCCTAACGGGGATGCACAAGCTAACCAGGCTCACTGCTTTCCAAAAGAGAAGCAAAACTTTAAATTGTTTAAAAACATGAAAAACTTCCTTTTAACTGAAAAACACCAAAAGCGCCCCCCCCCCAAAAAAAAAGATTAGACCCAAAAAACCCACCCAAGACTGCTCAAGTTGTCCAGATTGTACAATAGAAAACTTCCATGTACTAGATGTCACATTTCCCTTTGGTGGGCCTATTTTATTATTGTTTTCAGTGGAACGAAGATTCTGAACAATTCTCCTGCAATCAGCATTTGCTCTGGAGCAGTCACTGTGTTAAAAGTATATGGGCAAATACTCTGTCAACAGATCTAAGTCATTAAAGAAATGCTGCGGGAGTTTCTCTTCTCCATGAAGCCGTATCAGGCTGCTGTGGAACTCCAGTGGTTTTCAGCAGAGTTTTTAATTAATTTTTATGTACCCGGTCAGCTAGATGCTTCACTACAAAGCTAGCAAAATTACTGTTGTGATTAAAATGACTGTAAAAAACTGAGAATTGCTTCCTACCTGAACTAGGTGTATGCACCCTGGCTGATCTGTGGAAAGTCACTGCATTTCTTTATCTCCCTAACAGCTATCCAAGTCACAAGTATTCTTCTAGAATTTAATTCTGGTTTTGAGGTATTCAAATCCATTTAAATAAATACATGTAGAGAATACCCATTTAAAAGAACAAATATTTACATAATTAAACTGAATAAGTGGTATCCACGTAAAGCACACTACATATTTATGTTTTCTAATAGGCTTGTAAGAACTAAATCATCATACAGGGAAGTTAAATATTTAACCAAAATGGAAAGCATTATGTGCGATAGCATTAATCACTCAGTTCCACTCACAAAGAGCCCAAGTTGCACAATTTTTGAATCAGTGAATTTGGTATAATTCCACTGAAAATAATAATAAAACATTATTTTTACAGGTACCATTATTAAAAGCATCTTCAGATCCTAGCAGTAGATCTGGTAATACATGCACATGTAGACCAAATACAGCCACTGATCCACCCCAAGTTTACAATGAAATTATTTCTTTGTTTTTAATAGGTGCAAGATATGGGCACAATGCCATTGTTTCTTTTATCACTAAATGGACTGTGAGAAGAAACTAATTGTCCTCTGTGCTAATATTTTCAGGACTGTTGTCATTCCCAGACTCATTTCCAGCCTAGTCCTGGAGTAATGTCAGTGGAAGATAATATAGCAAGGTAAATTTGGATTATTCATTTTAATATTTTAAAAGATTAGCAGGTGCAAGTAGAACTACTCCAGAGTTTTTCGAAGCCTAACCCTCCCCTCCAACAGCCAAATGAGACACATGACTTTTATAAGAATGTTTTCCATGTTGAATGGAAAGGACCAGACAGGTGCAGTCCATCATCAGCTTCTCATTCGGTCCTTTTGCAGGAGGTCTGTGCCTCCAGAGCAGGTTGAGAGGACCAGGATGGCTTCTTATTGCTGCAGCCTGTCCAGTGTGCCTGTGCTAGGTTACAGCATCAGTGATGGTGTACTTGGAGTCAGTTTCCAGACTTCGAGTCCTACCATTAACATTTTTTGCATATTTGTTGTGGTTGTTGTTGTTGATGGTTTTACTATGGGGAAAACTATATTTTACTATGTACTCCTGGACTGAATAGTACAGAATCATGAAGAAAGTTCAGCCAAGGCAAAAATCAGTAAAAAGCCGTGTGAAAATGAAAGGCAGTATTCAGCAGCCATTCCAACAGGGAAAACTAAATGCCCATTGAAATCATGATACAATGAAGCTGTGCTCTTGCCTTTTTGATTTCCGTCCCTATTTGTATCATTTTTCCTCATTTTCCTTTTCTGTATACATTTGTTTTGTTTCTGCTGTCATGTGATAACTTCCAAGTGACAGATTTAATCTCTCTGCTCTTCTGCATTCTTTGATATATTCAGTAAGTTGTATACATGGAAAGAGATAGTAGTAATACTACTGATAACCTCACAAATGCTCATTTTCTGCCAAATTATAGAAGCTTGTCATCAAATTTTTATTGTCAGTTGGCTGCAGATATGTGGCCTGCTCCAATATCCCTGAAAATCATCAGAAGGATTTCCTTGGATTTCTGTGGGATTTGTGTTGTGTCCACCTTAATGCATGCAGTTGTTTTTCTTATCCTGCATTTATGAATTTCTGGTCAAGCTTTGTAACTTTTGCCTGGGTGACCTTGCTGTAGCCCCAGCAAGGAGTCAGTTCTGCCCCACAGTACCCAAAAGTCCCTCACATTTAAATGGGGATAGTGAGTTGTTGCACTGTGGGCAGAATAGTCTCCTGCACTTCTGTTCACTGTTTTGTGCAGCTGTTAGCTTGAAACAATTAACAGAGACGAGCCCTACAACAAAGTGATGCCATTTTGGCGTGTCAATGTCTGTCAATAGCAAGCACAATATTTCACATCAGTTTGCACGTTTTCTCTTTCAGACAATAGTAATAATTGAAGTCTTTCATTCTTTATATAAGGAGATAAGTATCAGAGATCTTCAGACTTCACTGTCTTGGGAGCTAATTTAAAAGTGTTCCTATGCTACCTTTATCTTTAAATAATTTTTTACTTATTATCCTCTGCTGAGATTACAAACTGGCATTCAGTTGAATTACTGGCTAGATATTTCCAAACATTTCCATTTGCATTGACTAGGAAGCTATTTTAGCCAGCCTGTAAAGTGCGTTGTTTTTTGTAGCTGCTTCCCACTGTGGCAAGTTGCACTCCCTTGTCTTCACTAAAACACATGCAAATTCTCCCTTGCTTTCTCTAGGTGAGACTGAGAGCCAAAAGCTTCAGCTTGTTAGGGCTGAATCTGCATCCCTTATGTACCCACAAGGCCTGCAGAAATCACAGTTATGAAGGTCAGGAAGTTGAGCATCTGTAGGCCAAGTTCTGCTTTGGGTTACACCAATGTCGCGTGTCAGTACTGAACTGAATATTTTACAACACTGTAACTGAGAGTAGGTCATGCGCCTAAATCTCTTTCACACTTTGCCTGTAATTTATTTGTAAGGCAAAAGAAAGTATTTGGGAATCACTGTTCGAAGGGAAACAGTATATGACTTGTGCCATTTCAGTGCTTTGAGGAGTCTGAACACATAGTAAGTAGCGTGATTCATTTTCATGTGTTGAATTCCTGCTTGTAGCAGAAACAAAGCGTTTTCTTTACATCAGCAAGTCCAGATTCTGATTCTGTGTTCTGCCCAGGCAGGAGGACTATTTAGCCATAATGTTCTTTCAAGTTAGAGTTTTGTATTACAGTGAAAACCAACATTTTTTAATTTGTGATAAACCTGTATTATAATGCCTTATTTATTTTTAATCTTGTACAGTGTTACAAAACAACAGAAAACATTGGCCTTTCATGTATTATTCACTTTAAAAGATGTATTGTATTATGAAATTTTGTAAATAGTTTTAGCTCGGACAGGTAATTGCATGTACACTTGTATAAAAAAAGGAAAAAAGGCACACTTTTAACAAATGTTACCGATTTTTGTAAGAGACATTTTACATGTGCATGGAGATTATAAATCCTTTGGAAATGGACGTCCTTTTGCTTTTCCTTACAATCTACTGCATGCCACTCATGCCTGACTTCAGTAAAACAAAACAAAACAGTAAGTTTTCCTAAATGTTTTTGACATATCACTTCTGGCACAGAGTTAAATCCACTAGTTGCATGTGCATTCAGCAAAGCAAAATCAAAATGCAAACAGCAAATAAAGAAAAATAATTTACTGATTGTGATCTGCCAATCTCAGTGTTCCAAGATCCATAATACAGTATATGAGAAGTGTTATCAACATCTATGCTGTCTTCATAAGGTACCTTCTGGTCATTAGAAGCAATAAACTCTACTTACTGTAATCTAAAAAGCAAGCAGATTCTAGTTCATAATGGTGTAATATCTGACATTCAGTGGGTATTCTCTGATACTGCATTTGATGTAGTATTGTTGTCAAGAAGGACCAAGTGTCAAATCCATCATTGCTGTATGCAGGTGCAACACTGTAGAAGGTAAAGGAGGTGAATTTGGCCCATTGACGTTACCCAGAGTATATTTCTAAGGTGGTAATAAGTTATTGTATGTGAAAATTACACAATGCAAATAGATTGTTTTCCTAGATACATACATATGTATATATATGTATGTATATATATAAATTAATTTTGTTGCCTTATTTTTGTTAGCTGTTTTGACTCATTTTCCAAATAATTTCTGTTGCTAAGCAGAAAGTATTTAACAGAACTATTAGGAGAAGGTTCACTGGGTTCTTTGGCATTGAGCCATCTGGGTTCTGTGCTGATACCAGTCCTGTTCCCACTAAAGTCATGCTGACAGAGATGCCTCCCTTCAGCATCACAGCTTAACCCACAGCTTGAGACCCATGTCGGTTAGTGACACAGAAATAAGAAATCAATATCCAAACCTCTAGCTGTTTTTTCCCCGTATTGCTGCTGAACAAAGCTTTACAATCTGGAGGTATTTTGCATGCATCATTTTTAAGGTTGTCACATCTGTGTCACCACTACAGTTTGGGACTTCTCAAATTACTTACATACTTGCTGTATGATCAACGAGGAGTATTGTAGGAGCATAACACTGAGGTTGGTGACAGAGGGAAAGGGTGTGGTCTGTAAATACTTTCTACTATGGATTAATATGGATTTTTTGTATTTTACAGATTTGAGCTAGTTTTATAATAGGATTTAGAAATCCATTAATCTCTTTGTTTAATCAGGTGACTGTGGGGTTAACTAAGCAGTACAGCTTCTGCAAGAACTTCTGCCCTTGTAAATTAAGATGTGGATTATACAATGTATCCCAGTTGCCTGCATACAAGAACCATTACCTTGTACTGATGATTGGCTTCATACAGCACTTAAGGGTTTCTAACAATCATAAACTAACTCATCTCAGATTCAGTGGGTTTTACATCTCAGTGTGGCATAATTGTTGTGACTAATGACAATCTGGACTCTGCTTCTCTACCCCAACCCTGTTTATGATTGGCTTTTTCCAGAACTCCGTAGAGGCTTTTTTTAGCTCTTCATTCCTTTTAATCCCATGTCTCACTGAGTTTTCAGGCCAGATCTAAATCATGAATAAATATGTAAATGTAAATAAAAGGAAAAAAGTACATATAAAGGGCGGCTGCCCCCCCTTTATCTTTAATTACTCTTCAAAATGCCACACTGCTTGGTTGGCCTGGTATGATTTATAATCTGATCAGTGCAAGGACAAAAAACAGAAAAGAAGAAAAAAAAAAAAGCACAAAGTTAGCAGGAGTACAAAATAACAAAAAGAAAATAAAACTTTGAGATAGCAATTGCTGAAGGGAAAAGGTGAAAACTGGGACTCCTTCTGAAGTCAGTGGTAAAGTTCTCAGTGACATGGGACAGGTCTTGTGTATCTAAGCTGGCAAGGTACTCAGCCAGATTCCTAGTGCAACAAAAATAAGGCTCGTGTTTAACTGCACAGCCAGATCCATTTCTGAGTTTTTGTGTCTCTTCACTTTCACAAGTGTCCAAGATCTCTTGGTGAATTGCTTTCAGAATTTCAGAAGGAATTGATAAAAATGGTTCAAGGTTGTCACCTTTAATGCCTATTTTGTGATCATGAGGAAGCACCTTGAAATTTGAATTAGCATTGGTTAATGTACATAGCCTATGTGCTGAAAGGACTTGGTTTTGCTTGTGCCTTACTGCATGCTGGAGGATCTGCTTCTTTATATTAGGATCCCTGTTTTATGCCTTCAGTGGCATCAAACATGTCACACCTGCATAAAACTGAAGGGGAACAAACAGTGCTGCACCACTGTGAAGCTTTTTTACTACTTCCTTTTCCTACTTTGGTTTACTACCAGAACAGCTATGTGGGTGCAAGGAGTGCTCCAAGTGTTTATGGAGGGAGGCCATACAGAGGTATATGTGGGTCCAAGCTAAATAAGAACAGATTTCCTAGAAAGCTCAGCACACATAGTGAGCTGAGTTCTGCAGAAAATCTGTCCAGATAGTTTGGAGCTCCTTTGAAAAAGCTGGCTGTTCTCCTCTTCAGAACAGGCTTACACAACATGTTGATTAAAAACATCCAGGACACTTACCTACAGCTTGTAAGTGCACTGCCACAATTGCTAGACATATTTTTAGCCTGCTGATGGTAAAACAGCTAACAGTCCTCGCTGTGGGCAAGGCTAAGGTGTGTTTTAATTACTGTGGTTGTGCAGACTATCGTGTCTTACTTTCAAGTGCCTGACCTGCTGCTTTGGTCCCAGACCTGTCAATGGTGGCACCAGTTATGAAAAATTTGAGCTGGCACACTGAAGTTACTTAGGTGATTTCTCATGTCTTTTATCCTTGGTGCACATGGGTGCAATTGTCTGTTCTTACATTTCAAATGCCATTTGAGCAATCAAGAATTTTCAGTGAAATGTAGATGAAAATTAGTTACCTGTGCTATCACAAAATTGCTTCATGTTAATTACATTTTAAAATTGTTAAAGTAGAAATCCTTCTTCACTTAGAATTCTTCTATGGTTCAATTAAGAAAAAAAAAAAAAGTGATTGTGTAACTTGCTCCCATTTACAAGTACCATTGTCTGCACAGATTTGGACTTAGACAAAGCAAATGGTGAGTTTCTTTTCTGCATTCAAGCAGCTGGTTGTTACACAGAGGTAGCTTTGGAAAATGTTACAGAATACAGTAAGAATTAACGTAATGCTTTCAAAGTTATTGGTCTAAAAACCAGAGTCCAAAAGCAGTTACCATTTCTAGTGTAATTTAACCCAATACAGAGAATTCTAGAACAGTGATACTCTTTTCAGTGGAATTCTGACAGAGATGAAAAACCTCTTCTTCCATTATATACTTGTATGTAGATTGGTCTGTGTGCAAATCACGGGTTGGTACACAGAATGTGGATAATGGTGCAAAACAGTACTAATGCACACATTTCACAGTTTCAAGCAGATTCAGCCAAATTTGACCCATCTCTTAAAATCTCTGCCACTAAAAGATGTGCTGCAACTCACTTTTGTCTAGATTTTGTCCTGCTGATTAGTCCTTACACTCTGCCGTCAAGAGGTTAATTTTTGTCCTGCTGGTATATGTCCATAGGTTCTGCTTGGAAATGAGATGATAAGTATTTTTCTGATCTGTTAACTGAAAATATTTTTAAGTGTATGTGATTCCTTCTTTTTATAAATAAATGTTCATCAGCCCAAGATAGAAAGCAAAAAACCACATGGAGCATGTGTTCTGCAATCAAAATTGATCTGCCTACACATGATAGCACAGTGTCCATTGGAGGCCTATCCATTATTTTAAGCATCCTAGAAATATTTAAATGTAATAAGCATCATAGCACTAAGAGGAAAATGAGCTAGGCATGCCTACCTGCCTCTGAATACGACATAATTCTTCTTTGGGTGTAAAAATGTGACCTGTAGATCATAAAACTCTGCTTCTTAAGAAATTGGTGCCCTTGCTGATCTTAACTCGCCTTCAGTTGTTCAGCACCATCACATTTTTGTTGTAGGCAGTTACTGTTCACACAGGTCTACTTACCATCTCTGTCTGTAGATCCTCCATTGTGTGGTTGTCAAATTTCTCTTAAAAAAAAAATTTAAAACCCAGATTTTTCATATAATAGATGTTTAAGGGAAAAGAAATGGCTTTGACATAATCTGGTGAGGAAGCAGTACATGTCACAGCAAACCTGAAAGAGTGAATAAACATACCCTGTGGTGGGAGTGCAGGCACCAGCAGCTGGCAGCAAGCTGGGCAGCGAGGCTTGACCCTGCCAGCAGCAGGCAGAGCAGCATCTCTGCTCATGTCCCCAAAGAGACACAGATAAGCAAGACTGTGATAGGCTAATTCATGTTCCCTAGCAGTTTACTTAATACATGCAAACCCATTTCAAGGGCAGTCAATTTTGTATGTGTCTGGAGGTCACTATTTAAAAATAAGAGCAAGGAAAGATACAATCTTGGGGTTTTATAAGGCTGATTGAATAGAAGTATTCAGTAAGAAGGCTGTGCAAGAGGAATCTTACCAGCTGCTTAACCTGCAGATGTTTGCATCAAACTCTGTGTTGCTTCCAAAGTGACTTGAATAATCTCGTTAGACTTTGGAAAAAAAAAAAAAAAATTATTTGCATCAAGTAGGGATATTCCACTCCTCAAAGGGAAAACCAAACATATTCTTCTCTCTACTTAATTGGCATATGAGGTTTCAGAAGATCTTTTAGTCTGATTTACAGCCCAATAAAGTTAATGGAAATATTAACTTCAATCATTGTTGAATTGTTAGATCAGGCCTTATTCTAATGTCTGTTCCTCTCCCACTGGGTGGGGTCAAATGGGGTGTTGCCAGTGACTTCAAAGGGACCAGGAGAAGGCCTACTGTATCACAATAGAAACATCTACACAGGTAAATAAAAATAATAGCCCGAACTTTAAGGAATGAACTACTAAGTCAAGATGTCATTTTTCCAACTATTGTAGCCCACTGAACCTATAAATATTTTTTATATCTATATAGTTATACACTATATATATATATATATATATATGTATGTATATACATAGTACAATACAATAACTTAACACTGGGTAACTTCTAATGATAGATTTGCATTAATAATACGGGTCTATTTTTATGTAAATAGAATATTGTAGAGTATCTTCCAGTCTTTTTCAGGATTGTTAAATTGAGAAGAGCAATTGAATATTTGTCCTATTTTTATGTTAAAAAGTGAATGGACTGAAATGTTAAATGTGAATGTAAATTTCTTATTGCAACTTTTATACTGAGTGTTTGCACTATTATAATTTCTGGAATCTAATTAAAAATAAAGGAAAAAAAATTGCTTGGATAAACAGCTGTTTCGGGTTGTTGCTTTGTTGATTTTTTTAAATCAAGTTGCATTCATTATTCTATACCAAGCTCTTTCATAGGGTCCAGCTAGAGCTTCTCAGTTTTCAGACCAAGGACATACATCTAGAAATCCTGCAATTTTACTTTCACAATTGCTCTGCACTAAAGAACCTTACAGGAACAATTCATCTCCTTTGTGAGACTTGTTAACTTTCTGTATTGAGCACAGTGAGAGCCAGCTTGGGCCAAGTGCACTACCCATTGTGCAAGCAAAGAAAAGTAAATGTGCAAATACTGGCAAAATACTGGCCACATAGACCAGAAGATAGGGAGTGGAAGCTCATCTCTCCCTTTCAACAATCCAGAAATAATTGGCCGACTTGGGCCAAGTGTATATTGTGCAGGCAGTTTATATTGTGCAAGATACAGAACCAACCTAAGTGCAAAATTGCATAGGTTAACTTAAAATTTATTTGAAAACTGATAAAGTTATATCAGGTAGCATTTTCCTCTAGAGACTTTGTAAGCTTGGGCACAGTACCAAAGCAATTCGATTGTACTGCTTCCAAATCACAGCAGACTCCCATCTGGCCAACTCAGAGCAAAAACAGAGGCACTCAGGTCCGTCACGCCTGTCCATGCAGATATGCCCTGAGATAACTTGGAAATGCAGAGTCCCTTGTGATGGAAAACAGTCTGGGCTCAGATGCAAGGGATTTTATTCCAAATGCTAGGCTAAGGCTCCCCAGCTGTTTCTCTTGCAGGTTAGAGAGCACAGTGTGAGTTGCACAGAATTACTGCCATCACAGTGAGTGTGATTGAACTGTTCTTGGTTTGCCCTTACACCAGTGAGAAGTGTTTGAGGCCTTATGCAGCCATTTTTTGTTTTCTCCTTCTCCTCTGAAAGACAGCATGCCAGATCTTCATAAGTGTCAATCAGAATAGCGCCGTTAAAGTGAAAGAACATTAATAAACTGAAATACTGGCCTTCAACTTTCATTAGACCTGTTCTGCCACATCGGTATTTGAAGCTCTTTTCTTAATGCCAAAATGTGCAACCCTCCCTGTGTTGTTTAGGTGGATTTTATGTATATAAATACATACAGAGCTATATATACTTGTATATAAAGTATGTATAAACACACGCATATGTTAATGAGATAGTGTACATTTTGGATTAATGACCCAAGTCAGGTACTTGGAAACATTTTTCTGTCATGCCGTATTACACAGCTGAAACACTTCAGAGACATAATCACACAGTATAAGAATTCGTTTTGCTTAAAGAATGAGGTATTTTCAGTGTTGGGTTGCTTATATCCTCTAGTAACATTTTTAGACAAGGACGCCAGTTCCAGTTGTGAGTGGTTTATGCTATAGAGATGCAGTCGCTGAATGAGAAATTCCAGAGGGACTGCATTTCTATAGCATAAACTACCCAGGACTGGAACTAGTGTTCTTGTCCAAAAACGTTACCAGAGGACGGTGTTGATTTGAAACAGGAGGAAGGGGAGAACAGAAAATGAGAACATTGTGTACATCATCCAGGCATTATTGGTGCATTCCCATCATATCTATGTCAAAGCCTTCCAGTTTTGCAGCCATTCCCTAGGCCAGTGGGTCACCCAATGCTCTGTTCTTGCTGGCAGAACATGATGTTTAATGGAAGGAAACAATTATACAGGTACCAGTCGTGGTTTATATTCTCCTAAAAAAAAAAAAAAAAAAATAAAAGCTATAGCTGAAAAGTGAGCCATGTAGTGGAAATTGTCTGTGACAATTCTGGCTCTCATTAAACCCACCGAGCTGTGGAGAGAGCATTTGAGGATGGAGATCTCGAGGTACAGCCAGGCTACTTAGGAGTCCTGATCTGATCCTAAACATCCAGTCATGTGCAAAACATTTCTGGTATCAATTGCAGCAGAAGTTTGCATAGGTTTTCAGACTCAAGGCTCAGAGAATAGAAACTGGGGTTTAATATTACGTTGATATGAGCATCCCGGGCTTATGCTGTTTCTACACTTATAACCAGACAGCGGTCCACTGTTTCTAGATTTAGCCATAGAAAGCTAGCAATGAAGACATAGAAGCATCTAGTGATGAAGAAGTAGTCATCATTGTTATGAAGGTTTGCCTTTCCATTTACTAGGCATAGTCTGAAGATGCCAATGAGGGTTTTCACAGAGACAGTGTAACGTATCAATTACTATACCACCACAGACAAAGCAGATAAGCTTCCCTATCACAAATGCTCTGCTTCACTAAGTCAGTGGGACTTCGATGACTTCATTAGCAATCCCTCATCTCAGACCACCTGGGGATTTGTCTGCATGATTCTAATATGACAAGAAAGAGCCATTGATATTCATCTGGCCTGACCTGCTGCACAAGAATACAGTCAGTCTGGCCATGCTACTGCACTGCACAAACATAGCATTTTTTGTTTATTATTAGATGTAATAAAGTAAAGCAAATCCATCATTTTCTGGTCTCTGAGAGATTTGAAGTTAGACATTTGTTTGGCATTGGCCAAACTGTGTTCATACTGTTGCCAAAGGTCATGAAAGCACCACCGACTGTTTTCCTCCAAACTCTATAGTTACTCTGTATGTTTATTGAACTTTGGCAATAATATTATGTGCTCCTCAGCAGCACTGCCAACATAATTAGAAAGGAGCAGTCATATCAGAAAACACACAACAAGTTACTGAGGAAAGGTCCCAGTTGAATATTAACTCAGATCGACTTCTGGGGTGTAGAAACACGTAGAAAGTGTATAGGACACTATCTAGTGAATAAACAACATGCAGATAGAACACATTGTGGCACTCTGGTAAGACTGAAGTGGATAAGCATATAATGAAGAGGAGTCATTGACGTAATTACAAAGGCAGATGGTGGCACATTGATTTTATCAGGGTCAATGACCTCTAATGCTATTAAAGTGTACCTAGTTTCTTACTACTGAGGTAATTAGACTTTTTGAAGTCAAATATTAATCTGCCAGACTTTGGATAAAAAAGATACTTCTCTCAATTTGGCATTCCCCACAATGGTTTTAGAGTTTTAGTTTTAGAGTGGCTGCTTGTATATTACAACCTTTAACCAAGAGAGGCAACAATTTTTAATGCCTTAAGGTTTTATAAGTGATCTTAAGACAGTAGCATCTTTACATATGTACACCCTAATCCTCTTCTCACATAGACATCAAGCACTGCATCTTAGGGCATAGCTGGTTCATGCTGAGGGAGGATGTGGCACTGAACTTGTCTATAAAGGATAAAGGTGTGTTCCTTAAGGTTTTTGTTTACTCATTCCTAATGTTACATGAAAGCAGAAAACAATTTGGCTGTTAGAATACTACTTTCAACTATCTGCAACCGCTGGACTTAGGTGAAAATTTTATAACATCAACATCTAAATTAAAAGCATTTAAGAATATTTGCAATGGTTCAAAGACAAAGAGCCAAGTCTCACTGTTCCTCAGACTCTCACTGAAATGGATCATATGGAAAGTGATGTAGACATTTAAACATAGAATGGTTTGGGTTGGAAGGGACCTTAAACACCATGTAGTTCCAACCCCCCTGCCATGGGCAGGGACACCTTCTACTAGACCAGGTTGCTCAAAGCCCCGTCCAGCCTGGCCTTGAACACTGCCAGGGAGGGGGCAGCCACAGCTTTTCTGGGCAACCTGTTCTAGTGTCTCACCACCCTCACAGTAAAGAACTTCTTCCTTATAACTAATCTAAATCTACCCTCTTTCAGTTTAAAATCATTAGCCCTCATCTTGTCACTACACTCACTGATAAAGACTCTCTTCCCATCTCTCCTGTAGCCCCCTTTAAGTACTGGAAAGCCACTATAAGATCTCCCCAGAGCCTTTTCTTTTCCAGGCTGAACAACCCCAACTCTCTCAGCCTGTCCTCACAGGGGAGGTGCTCCAGCCCCCTGATCATCTTCGTGCCTTCCTCTGGACCCTCTTGAGTAGGTCCATGTCCTTGTTATGTTGGGAGCCCCAGAACAGGACACAGCACTCCAGGTGGGGTCTTACCAGAGTGAAGGGAGAGAATCACCTCCCTTGACCTTCTGGCCACACTTGTCTTGACGCAGCCCAGGATACAGTTGGTCTTCTGGGCTGTCAGCGCACATTGCTGGCTCATATTTAGTTTTCCATCCACCAATACCCCCTAGTGCCTCTCCACAGGGCTGCTCTCAATCCACTCACTGCCCATCCTGTATTTGTGCTTGGGATTGCCCCAACCCATATGCAGACCTTGTGCTTGGTCTTGTTAAACTTCATGAGGTTTGCATGGGCCCACCTCTCAAGCCTCTTAAATAAGGCTTTGACTTTCTGAGCAGCTATGAAACCCAGTGAGTATATCAAGAGTGTGGTTTTGAGTGCTCAAAACCAGATTTGTTGTCCAGCTGGATAGATCCAGTCATAGCAGAGGTATACTACCTAAAATCTGTAGAAATATATAACCTGAAGCACACGTCATGACTGTCTTGTTAGCACAGAACCATTTTTCCTGATAGGTTATGAAACCCCCAAAGCATCAGTCCAGGATTCCCTAAAGCCTTCCTCTCAGGCTGCTTATGAGACACTCATATGACAGGACTTGGAGTGGGAATTATACCACACTTAGGTCTATTTCTGGACACTGCAGTCAAAGACACTGACCTTGCCCCTGGCCAGAAAAAAGGTCCCTGACACACAAAAATCGTATGTTCCAACAGTTGCAAAGGTACTACTTCCACGCTGCTGCCATAAAGAATGTATTTTGCTCCAGTGATCATAACACCATAATTCAGCAGAAATCCACCAACTATGAAGAAAGTCTTCCAATAGGTGAAAAGTTTAAAGTTGCTGGAAAGCAAGTTCATAAAAGTACATAAATGTTTTTCAGGCCATATAAATACTTTAACAGACCACAAAGGGTTCACATAGTCCTTGGTTTCTGAAGGTTTCAGCAAAGGTTTTGCTGATGAAAGGAAGGCATATCCTGTGAGGTGCAGCTAAGGACTTCGGGTTTTTCTAGTTTGGAGAGAAGGAGACTGAGGGGTGACCTCACTGCTCCCTACACCTTCCTGAGGAGGGGAAGTGGAGAAGTAGGTGCTGAGCTCTTCTCCCTGGGATCCAGTGACAGAACGCATGGGAAAGTTTCAAAGCTGCACCAAGGGAGATTCAGACCGGACATTAGGAAGAATTTCTTTAACAGCAGGGTGGTCAAACCCTGGAACCGGCTTCCTAGAGAGATGATCAATGCCCCAAACCTGTCGGTGTTTAAGAGGCATTTGGACAATGCCCTTAATAACATACTTTAAGTTTTGGTCAACTCTGAAGTGGTCAGGCAGTTGGACTAGATAGGTCCCTTCCAACTGAAAAAGTATTCTATTCTATTCTATTCTATTCTATTCTATTCTATTCTATTCTATTCTATTCTATTCTATTCTATTCTATTCTATTGTCTTCAAAACATATAAAATTACTGTCTCCATTGCATACCCTATCACAAATCTTAGGATTTTCAGTAGTGACCAGGCATGTAATTCCTACTGAAAGAAGTAGAAAAGTTGCTTTTTAAAAGTCCCACTGGGTTCCTCCGTGCAGATTTATGTATTTTCCGTGCAGATTTATGTATTTAAAGAGGCTAAGTCCACAGAGCATCTTGGACTGTTTCATTTCAATGTCCATGGCTGCCCAAGGAGCTTACAATTCACTGGGACTGGGTCTGTTCCTTCTGCATGCCCCGCTGTACCATAATGATGGAAAGACCAAGAGAGGCACTATTATGCAGAGGTTAGTTCATGATGAGGCTTCCTGCTGGTTTCAGCCTTCATGTCGACAAATGAGATGTTCCACTCCTATTTTAACTGAGCAGTTCAGCCTGATCAGCAATCTTACAGCACTCCTGTTTGATTTGCCTATATATATAAAATGCAGATACAGGAAGAAAAGGTTATGGGAATTTGAATCACATTTGCATTTTAATGGAGTTTCATACATAAACAACTCATAATCAAGGTGTAAGTCTTCTAAATCATTTAGGGAATAACAGTTTAATTTCCTTCCTCTTTTACTTATTCCTTTGTCTTGCCCATTCTTTTCATCTTTCTTTTAATTTAGTCTTGCCACATGGCTCTAAATTTAGGAAAGCATTTTCACCTTTGTGTCTCTCTCATAATTTCTTATTCCTTTTATCTTCCTTTTACTCCCCACCACCACTCATATTCTTCTGGCTCTTCCTTCTTCCTTCGACTTCTCCGAATAAGGGTCATCCCACCACCATGGGTCATCAGACAGAGTAGAGTACTGAGGTCCACTTACCAGCTCCTTACTCTTTGTGGAATCATCCTCTGCACCAAAAAACATCAGATTAGTTGCAAGAGCAGGGAGGTGGCCTGATATTGTTCTACCCATGAAGGACTGCACCTAGTTCCTAACTGCTTGGACAATTTTGCAAGATTTGTGATTTCACAAACTAGAATTACATATCCAATTCAATATAATATATTAGGGAAGCATAGGAGCTAAGGGTTGGTTCAGCATCCAAGTCCCCTTCAGGAGAACTCTTTGGCAACACCATCAGAGTGGGAAATGAAGAAACGAATAGAACAGCAACTGAAGAAGTGCAGTCCCTCAGGTTAGACTAGAACACTAAGGGAAAAAGGTGTCCCTTTATTTCCCTGTGTGTACGTTATTCCTTGGTAAAGTGAAAAATAATTCCAGTTTTGCCATCTTCTAGATGAGGCCTCTTCAAACTCCCATGTCTCTGAAGTGAATTTGTGCGTTTGAATGGGAATGAAAAGGCTGAAATCTGAACCAAGTACTGTGCTGGTTTTGTTTTCTCCACTTTTGTTGATTTTGGAAGTAAAAATATTAAGAAATAATGACTGTCATAAGGAAATGCAGTAAAAATGTTTATATCATTTCCTATGTGGGTTTTTTACTTTTGGAACAAATATAGAAAGGGAGCTGAAGTTATTTGCTAAAATGAGAACAAAATAATCTTTCAAGACACAAACATAAAGCAGTGGGAGTTTTGATACAATATATACAGAGGTGTATAATAATATTGCTGGAATTGTGTGCCACCTTGTATCACACAGCAAAAGAGAGGATGTGTAAACATAGACCAAACAGCTGGATCCAGACCTATGGAGTTCTTGCTCCAAAATATCAGGTAGAAAATGCTGAGAAGGAAGATGGTCATACCAAGGAATGCAGTGTGAGTGAAGAAATGTTTCATAGTGAATAGGTGTGAGTGCAGGACACAGTATGTGTTATTCTCTGAAAGATGCAAGAAACCTTCAAATTACCACTCATTCCAGAGATTGGGTATTTCACGTCCAGGCTACAAATACACCAAGACCAAACTAATATCACTGCAGTTGGTCTGCTGAGCGATGCATGTTTACGTTAACTTCAGACTCCTTTCTGTCTGATCTCTTCACAGTTAAGTCCTTTCTGTTCCCTGTAACATCCTGCCACCGCTTCATAAAAAGCTAAATCTGCAGGACATAAGAGAAACTACAGCCAATGGTGCGAACAAATTGCAGAACCCCTAATTTATATCTTGGGAACATCTGTCAAGGAACTAGAGGAAATGGCAAGGAATGGCTTTGCAGGGAAGGGGACGGTTATTTTTTGAGAAGATTTTAGGAAGAGGCCATGGAAGGTAGGCATTAAGTTGATGCCGCTACAGACACCACGGGTGGACTGTGATATGGCATGTAAAGGATACACTAGAAAGTGAGGGTAAGCATGGCGAGGAGGGAAAAACACAAGCTTGGACGTCAAGGCCAAAAGTTTTTGAAGGGGTCCAGTGAGATGGTGTCAATTTTGCTCAGACCAACCAACAGCCTTCTTGTGCAGGTTCATGCTGTGCAGCGTTGTTTGCATCACTGCCTCTGGGAGAGGCAATATTATGTCCCACTGACACAGCAGGACAGTGCAAACATTGCAACACTATGCCAAGACATCACTCTCCGCTCTGTGCTATATAAGGAACTGGCTTGCTAAGTTCTGCAAGGTACAGTATAGCTGACCTGGTGGGTTTGCTCACGAAACCACAAGGACACTAGTTTGAAAACTAACTACTAATATTCAAAATAAGGTAAGGGTTGGTCTAGCCTCTTCTGTGTTTTTTTTTTTTTTTTTTTTTTTTTTTTTTTTGCCCAGCCACAAATATCTCAAAATACTTTTTGTTTAGTTCTCAAAATATTCCTGTAGGAACTTCCCCTGGGAGTTTAGGAAATAAATAGCTTATCCTGGAGAGACTATTTATTTCCAGGATGTTTACTCGTGCGATCCATGTGATTGTAAAGTGCCTCCATTTCTCAAGCTCTCTTTCAGTTCCTTAGGGGCACATAATTTAAACCCAGCAACTTTCCCTACATACTGACAGACTGTTATTCCTGAATATTGAACTGGTAGCTCCAATTCTCTATTCATAGTCCAATTATTAATGCAGCAAGAGAGGGTGGTTTATGATTAGGTTTGAAATGCCCAGACTCCCTGGAACCACAAGTTCAAATCCCGGCGAGATCAGCCCTTCGCCTCTCTGTCTGCACCAGATGCACTCTACAACCTCAGGTCACCCGCATAAAGCCCTGAAATTAGGTCTGTCTGATCAGCTTAGATTTTAAAGGTCCACAGGTCATGCTTTGTCTAAAGGGGCTACCCCAATATTTGTGCACACACTCCCTCACGCCTGTGCTTGCTCCACAGTGTTGTGATAGCAGCTGTTTACTGCCACACACCCCAGAGCTGACTTGCAATTCAGTGGGGCTGGTGCAGCCCAGCTGCCTTTCTGTGTCGACAAAAATGAAAGTCCTCCACCTGAACCATATCATTGCAAATCAATGCAATTCTCACCTAAGAGCTGATATTTTGAAACCACTTGCTTCAAGATAAAATGCTGCCATTTCCACAGCTGCTAGCTGCAAACACCATGAAATTCATACTGCAGTAAAATAATCTTCAGTTTATTATCACTAACTGTTTTCCTAAAAGAAGAGCTTTTTCATGGCAGATTTAACATTTGTTTTGTCATTTACTTTTTGGGCAGTGAGAAACAGATACACTCCATCAACATACATCCATCTTGTGACAGATTCTCAATGTGCCTTAAGCAGCCATGTGAAGCCAATTAACCACTAGATGTATTTTTGTGACTGAAACAGGCAACAAGCAGCAGAGATTAAATAGCAATAAACATAGCACATAGATAAGTTGGTTAGCCCATTTTTCTATGATTAATTCATGCTAGATTTCTATTTAGTAGTTTATTCAGTTAGTAGCACTGCTGAAACTCCTAAAAATGCTAAGTGTGTGATTTAGGGAGTCTCTACAACAAAGGATGTTGGGAGGTTAGAAGGGTTTTAAGAAGTGAAGTACCACCTGAAGCCAGATCATCTGAGAAAGATATCAGATAGAACGGAGTAATTGGGTAAGCCTGTTTTCTTTTGTTAAAGTTGCTGTAAGGTATATTTTTCATGGTAGACCCTGATGTTCTTAAACAGTTTATCTTTATATGGGGTGGGTTTTTTTAGACTTTTCCCCTCCTTTATCTGCGATGGTGTTATTATGAGCAAAAAAAAGTTTGTTGCTTGTATATATGTACCTCTAAAGCACATAAAGTGTGAAAGAACAAATAATTTTGTTGTTTTCCTCAGAAATGTTGGCTGGAAACATTATTTTAAAACTAAATAAATTAAAAATAGCTTTTAATTGACCATCTAAACTTTAATGAGTGAGGGGAAAGCATCAAAACATACAGCTGAGGATGGGCTTGGGGGGGTTGCAAGCTCCTTATTCCCTAAGTTTAATCATGCAAGCTTACTGTCAGTAAGCTTCTATGATAAAGACTAAGGGATGTCAACCTGGCTGAAAAGGGAAGGAGGAAGGCAGTATCTGTAGGCTGAGTGCTGCTTGTAGTGTGTCACAAAGCTTGAACTGCTAAGTAGTGAGAGGAGAAATGGATTTCCAAATAAAAATAGTAATGGGGTTTTCTTCACTCCCCTTCTCTTTCTAAGGACAAAAAAACCCACAAAACACCTGACTTGCTGTATTGAAGAATCAATGCTCTCAGTTTTGCCTCGTGTTCTTTAGAAACACAAAGTGGATATGAATTTCTGGTAAATTCTGACCCTACACAAGTGCAAAACACTGACAAGAAATGGAGAAATGATGCTTTATACTTAAGCGAACATATCTCTGTGTCCTCCTTCATTGTAGTCCCATGTCCAACCCCTCCTAAATCCTTTGATCTACAGGGCTTAGAATATGGGCACTTAAAACGTATTGCCCCTTGATGAGCTTCATGCAATCAATCTGCATGAAATACCTCAACTGCCTCATGAAATCAGAGTTCAACAGTTACTAGAGGTACTTAACTGCTCATCTAATTAAGATATTTATCTTAAACTGGATATAGATATAGATATATATCTTGGGTTTCTTCATGTTTAAGAAGTTAACTTCCTTTTTGTTGAGGGTTGGCAATCAGGTAGAGGAAATGCTACTAACAAAAACAACCTTGCCTTGTTGTAAATTCAGACTTGCACAGAACATAGTTTTTTTAGGAGTAGCAGAAGTAAACCAAATGTCAGGTAAGTAGGAGAGAATGGGATGTCTGTGAGCTCCCTTTTAAGAAAATAAGAGAAACAAATTGTCAATTGAACTAAGAGATGCTTGCCTGAATCCAGAACTTCTCTGCAAGTCTCTAGAGCACTTCAGTTTTTGCTACACTATGGTAATCCCTCTGTTCATCTAACAGTTTTCATTTACCTACCCACTGTTAGCAGCTACAACCCTGAAAGTATATTATTTGTGTACTCTGGATGAGAAAGCACTGTCTTAATGATGTTTTAGTTAATGAGATCTTTAAAATATTCCAGCATACACAGACCTCTTGTTGTATGTGACAAGAGTTTTCAGCATGGCTTTTCCAAACCCTTGAACACTGATCTATACAAAGGATAAATTCCCTGTAAAGACAGAATGCAGACATGAAAATAACAACACCTTGGATTTGTTTTTGCAGCAGTCAAACACCTTACATGGCATCTTGCTGTGTAAGCAATGACACAATTTTATCTTCTTATATTCTTAAGGCAATAAACCTGGATTTGAGATGTCAGAGGAAGAAGATTCTTTTCTGAATGTTAAAAGATCTTTGAAAAAGAGAATGGTGAAACACAGCACTCCAGTGGACTCAATGCTTTCAAGAACAATGCCATCTCTTACAGATCTGATAAATCAGTCAGTGAAGGACCAAGATACCAGTAAGAGACTTTATGGATCGCCAGTGCCAAAACCAAATCTAAGTAGATCATTAGCTCAAGTATCATCAGCACATGTTGAAGCATACATCCCTCATATGTCCCCAAAAAGGCCTTCAACAGTGTTTAACTCTCAAGAATTAAACAAAGAGATAAGCCAAAGCTCTCGGGTTGTATTTTCTAGAAAGAGGCTTTCCACTGTGTTGGCTTCTGATGAATCAAATGAAGACCCAAGTGACAAGGTTGTCCCAAAAGAGGAAACTCAAGCTTCCACCAAAGCCTCTGAGGAGACTGCAGTAACTCCCAAGAGTGCACCTTCACGGCTTGTTACTGGAATACCAGGGATAAAAGATGTCCTGATAGTGAAAACCAGGAAGAAGAAAATTGATAAAGCTTTTGTGGTAATGGCTTTCCCTTAGTTCTGAAATAGCTAAACTATACAATTTCCTACCAATGCTGAATATATACAGATCTTTCTAGTAATGTGGAAATATTTTACTTATGGATCATCTCCACAGCTTTACCAGTGAGAACGTATATTTATGAATTGGGTCATAACCTGCTAGACTCTGTGGTATCATTCCTAATCACAGACTGGATAGGATGCAGTCTTCCACACTAGTATTTGCTTCAGCATGCATGACTAGTTGTGTATACAAGTGCAAAAGTACATTTTTTTTTTAATATATCTTTCCTCAGGAGAAACAAGAATGGGAAGAAATCAGTGATTTAAATTTGCAAGTTTCTAAATGTTGGCAAGTTAACTAAAACTGGAGAAACCAATAATCTAATTTTTCCTTGCTTAATCCAAATCGTAGTGTTTTATAAAAAGAATGCCAGTCATTTCAAATGAGGTCTTGTGTGCAGTTCTTTGATAAGTGTAAGGTTTTCTGGGGAAAGCTCAGATTAATAGACCTTATGCAGGTCTTTATTTTTCTGTTCTGTGAAGCACGAGAACTCATTTTCCTAGATCTCTGATTATTGACAACGGCCCCATGAAAAGCCTCTGGAAAGGATGGGAGGCATCAGAGCTAGACTCTGAAGGCTGTCATGTCGGTGTGAAGCTATAATAATCTGTTCTGGTTTGGTTTTTTCCCTGTATCATATTGTTCATGGGTGTGTTGAAAACTTGTCCGCTCTGGTTTATCTTAAAACAAATGGAAAACTTCAGCCAAAATCCAGCTGGGTTCATAATGCCTTTGTATATGTTAGGGGTTTTTTTGGTTTTTAAAGCAGTGATATCTGAATGGATTAGGTTGACTAAATAATACTTTTTTCCTGTAACAGAGAAAGAAACAACAAGAATGGGTGCTTCGTCAACTTAAAAACATTGAGGAAGCAACTGAACATGAACTGACAATTGAAGAAGCTTGATTGAACTACCCGTGGAATCGGTGCTATCACATCCTTCTTGTGGGAATAGTTGGTTCCAATAAATCACATACCTGACTATAGTGCTTGTTAGACTTCCTTTCCTTCAAAACCATTTTTATGTTGTTTATTTGTTTTGTGAATTTTTTTGCCTCTTAAATATAGGAGGAGTTGGGTACAAATTAAAAGGTGCCTCTACCTGAGAACCAATATTAATTTCTAATGGCTGAAGGCCTGGAACGAAGAAGGGAGGGAGAACTTCTTGATCCTGCCACATCTCCTCCTGACCATACTCTTTTGTATTCTGTTCAAATCTTCTAGGATTGCTGAAGTTCCTTAAGTGACAAAGTCCTAGTGGCCACAAACAGTGTAATCCTGGTTAGCCAAAGGAGACTCTCCTCATCTAAAGAGTAATCAAAACTGATGCAATCGGGAATGTTTTTGCTGCTAGCTGGGGAGATGAGGAAATAGTGAGAGGCACCAAGGAGGGAGGCCACCCTCTAGAGATTACTAATTAATGACAGTTTGTTTTGGAGTTTTGGCTCAAAATGAGTTTGCCCTAGCCCTGGATTGTAAATGCACCTCAATGTTGCATTGGAGATCCTCAGTGTTCAGCTGCATACTTTGAGGGAGTATGGGTTTTCTGTTTTTCTCTGGAGCTGCTGCATGGCAGGTAAGAAGGGTGTCTTCCCTGTCAGCTGTACTGGCAATGGGCAGTTTAACTCACAGCAGCTCTTTCTGAAGCACCAGTCAAAGAGTGGTGCGAAAAGCGTAACACTTGGGTTAGGTCCTACTGCTGTCTGTTACTTAACCTTTAGTCAGGGTTTAACACTTCTAAGTGATCTATGGGGTGTCAGCATCAGGGATTCAGAACAGATTTACCACACGCACAATCATATCCCTGCACCTCTGTGGCTCTAGCACATGCACATTCCTGGCTATACAGGTTTTGCAGCCCGTCCCAAGCACTACCTAATTACTCCAAAGGGGAGAGGTCCTGTTCAAAAGAACCTGCAAATTAAGGATGGAGGGAAGGGAAGCTTTTCACTTTCTTGCATGCTGAAGCTTGAAATATCTCATATCCAAGGTGGCAGAGAAGCAGAAGCATGGCCCAAACCAACATTATGAGACAGGCTAACCAATAGCAGCTGTGTTATGCTCAAAAATGCAAGAGTGGGGTTGTGGTTTTACAACCTCTCTCAGGATTTAAAAGGAATTAGGATGTTTTTCCTAATGATTCCTGAAGTAAAACTCTTCAGAGTTTCTCAGAACAGCCTTGCCCTCAGACCTGGCTTTCTGCAGTAGCCAGGCAGTGGGCTGATGTTGCCTCTCAGGTCACCAGCCAAGGAATGCTCATTTGGTTTGATGTGTAGTTAATGTTCTGGTATTTGTTTGTGTGTGTTACGCAGGCTGCTTGTCTAGCCTCTACAGGTTCCTCTGGCAACCAGGGAGCTCCTGGCTGATGTAGATCCCAAGCTGCTTTTGAGATAAAATAGGCATGGTTGCAGATGTGCTGCTATTCCCCTTGAGCTTGCAGGCATTTCATCAGCATCAATGATTTGTGCCAGGGGCTGAACTAAGATCAGGCAAGTGCAAGGTTAGAGTAAAATCGTCCTCTACCCCTGGGACAAGTACAGATTATTCTGGCCACATGATCCAATGCTTAATCCAAATGACCCAGTTCTGCCTCTTGTTTATTTGTACCTTCCCAGATAGCCAGTTCCACTTGTTCTTTCTTCAGGCTTCTCATCCTGGTCTCAGAAAGTCTTGATATTACTTCTGCTTTTCTCTCTCCCACTCACCTCTCGAAGTCACTCTTGGTTCCTGCCTGAGCCCATCTGTTTCCTTGATCTTCAAATGTCTCTTTCTAATGTCTTCTCCAGTCTGGCCTCTAGCGGCTTCCTTCCTTATAAGACACAGAAGTCATCTGTCTTCCATGTTTGCTCTTCACTGCTGGATTCCTTGACCATCTGATACCCTCTGATGCCTAGTGTCAGTCTTCTGCCAAAACTCAGGCTCAGCTGTCATACCCTTAAGTTCCTTTGTCTGCTTAAGTTGACCCTCTCAATGATGCTAGGCCAAGTGGAAAGGTCACTGAAGGCCAATCGGACCAAGTTTCAGCCCTTAATGGGCTAGGGATGTAGCTGCTGGGAGAGTTCTCCTCAGGCCCTGCTTTGGGCTACATCAAATGCAAGAGGAATCTAGGGAATATGGCTGCTAACATCTAAGAAGTCTTTGGGTTTGTGCCAAGTGCAATGAAAAACCTTCTAAGATTCGGAACACAGTAAATGCTGGGAAAGTTTTCCTGGGAACGAGGCTGCCACCCTACCAAATTCAAGGAACTATTTGGTGCCGATAAAGTCCCAGAGATTTTCCCCAGTGGAGGGAAACAAATTGCCCTGAGCGGTAACACAGAGTTGACTTCGACTGGGTCTTTGCAAGTCCTGGAGTTGTATCAGGCAGACTGATGCAAAAAAACTGAGGGCTTTCAGGATTTTGGAAACCACCTCTATTTCCTCTCTCTGGAATGTTTAAAAAGAAATACAAAAGACTGTATAGCGTTTATCTCGCAGTAATTTAGGTCCTCATGAATTTGCAAAAACCACAATATTGCCCTGACAGCCTTTCATAAGAAAATATTAATAAACTTTATTGGTGTTTCAGGGGGTTTCTGAAATGTGTCTGATACTCTACATCAACAGTATTATTGTTAATTATAGGTTAGATACTGAGGGACTTCAACCAGACTTACACGGTTCTAAACTATGTTATCCCCTCGTGAATGATGTTCCCAAAGCAAGGCTTGTCTCTAATTATTAAAAGCCAGACTGTTAGGGAATATTAAACTATATATATCAAACTACATATACGAAACTACACTGCTATTATTGTGCTTCACATACAAGTATATGTATTGGAGCAAAATGAAAAAAAAACTAGCATTTATTTTGTTTACAGGGTTTGCAATTTCATTTATTCCTTTGGTAGCTCCCAAGTCTACTGAAGTTTAAATTTAATGATACAGCTAGTTTTCTGTTATAGTATACACATACACTTTCAAAAGAATATGCTTTGAGAGAGGCACTAGTAGCATGCGGTTTCAATGATGTTTAATGTTCATCCTATAGTAGCAACAATAGCAAATTACTGTTTGTTTAGCAACTATCTTCATGTGCTAAGTTCCTTTCTGCACATTTATATTGCAATATCACCACAGTGTAAAAAAAAAAAAAAAAAAAAAAAAAGAGCCACAGAGCCTGACACCTCCAAAAAATAGACTCCTCTAATTATTAGTGACCTTAAATATGGATTGCTGGAAAAGATGAGGGACTACATACACCAGATTAATATGAGAAGATAGCCCCCAAGGCATCGGGTTTTGTAAAGGAAAAAGCCCTTTTTCTGCATGGATAAATGTGAATCAGAGTTGCAACAGGTTTTTGAGCCTTGTGCTTGTCCTGACTTTCAAATGTTACCCTAAACATGTTTGTAAGTCCAGAACAGCCTTCCTACTGAGGGTACTCTTTTAGGGCAGTATTTTTCCTTTAGGAGCTAAGCTATGACCTTGACCTAGGGAACTGTTTTCAGTACACTTGTCTCTGAACGGATATTACACAATCTACCTGCTGATGGTGACTAAGCATGATGTTGGATGGAGAAGAACAAAAACACTACCAAGAACAGAGGGAAGAGACAGAAATGTCTTCACCCTGGATTTATGAGCTCGGCCTTGTTCCCACTGAAGCAATGGTAACACTCCTGTTGACAGAGCCGAGAGTGCTCTGCCCAGCTGCAGGGCTTCTGCAGGAGGTCAGGCTGAAGAGAAAAATGTTTAGCACACATATTTCACATATTTCAGATTTAAATAACAGAGAACTGATTACTAAATTACTTCTTTGCTGATCATAGCTGAAAAATTTTAGGATAACTAGGAAAAGTGGAAAACTCTTAAATAAAAACAGATTTTTTTTTCCTAAATCACAACATAGTTACATTCCTGCGATGTACAAAACCCTGAGTAACAAATTGTACAGCAGTGTCACTGACCTGTACTCCAGTGTGTTTTGTTCTAGAAGATGTACAAGCACAAAAGATTTCCTCAGCTCTTATGTTGCAGTTCACAATGCCTATCAAAAGAGCTCACTCCTCAACACTTCTGACTTACTAGATAAAAAAAGAACAAACATACTGAAGTTTTAACTGACCCTAGCAGCACCTCGAAAAGTTGGACCAGTTGAAGCTATTGGGTAACATTTTCAAATGTCGTTAAAAACTAGACCTAGTCCCAGATCCTAGGACCCCACCTAGGATGCAGGCCCCCTGCTCCAGAAAACCCCAGATCTCCGGCTCAGTCCTTGTAGTACTATATAGGTACCTAATGCTCCTATACAATGAAATTTTGTTGGACAGTACAGTCAGTCCCAATGGGCATGCAAACCTCATTAGAGCTTGACAACAGCTCCTTCTTGCCAGCCGCCTGGGTCTGCACACACACATGATCTCACAGTACTTTACACCAGTCCCATCTCTCCACCCTGAAATGGGACATGTGCACAGGAGATGTGTAGCAGACACTGGTCAGACAGGAGGTATATCTATTTGCAGTCCATAGGATAAAACTCTGGGAAGTGGGAGACCGCATCTCAAATCCCCTTCTCATCTGAGATAGGACCTTGAAACCAAGTGTCCTAGCTCACAAGACAGTAATCACCATCTCTAGACTTACTGTGGAGTCAGGGTTTTTAAGTGTTACCTATCAAAGATGTTCTACTTTGCCTAAGTATTTATTAAAAAAGAAGACTGAACTTGCATCATAGGCCAGTGACTCACTGTCTTGCATCTGTGGTATTTTATTACTTGAGGGTTTTGTGGGGGTTTTTGTGGTTTAATTAATTGTTACTGAAGAAATTGAAAGAATGAGGGAAACATCCTTACAGGGATTGGACATTACTCCCAGAGAGCGAAAAAATACTGTCATATTTTTTCTGCTTCTTACCATTGCTGCCATTTTGATCCCTTTTGTTGACCTCCATTTCATCCTTTTGGCCCTTCCTAGCTCTAC